TGCAATTGGTTTTTCTTGCCTAAATGTAGAACCTTGCTTTTTTCACCATTGAATTTCATTTTGTTAGATAGTGCCCAGTGTTCAAGTCTGTCCAGATCCTTCTGTATCTTAAGCCTGTCTTCTGGAGTGTTGGCTATTCCTGCCAGCTTGGTGTTGTCTGCAAATTTGATGAGTTCCCCATCTATCCCCTCATCCAAATGTTGAGTGAAGTCTGTTACTATGCAGTTTCCAAATGCCTGCATTTAGGTCTATGTTAACAAAATACAAAATTCATATTTCTCTTATAATTCAAAATTTGTTAAACCTGTATTGGATTACATATAACTTTCAGGAAGCTGAACGAATGTTTCAGGCAGTGGACAGTGAAACTGTACACCTTCCATATGAAAGAAGTGAAGTATTACAGATTCCTGTGAAAGCTCTAAAATACAGGTGTAGTATTTACCTATTATTTTACATTTTATTTTATATAATAAGCTATTCCATTTAATTCCGAATGATGCTTGTATAATCTAGAATTAATCATGGTGAGAAAGAGGACCAAAGACTTTATATTGTACCTTCATGTATCCCCATAGTGCATTACATGTTACTTAATTAGATAACAGATGACTCCTTATCAGTCAACTGTGTCTGTATGAAGAACTTTATTTAGTCCCGTCTTGTCTTTTATTGTGCATAGTTAATGTGGAAAACACTGAAGATATTAAACTGAGACTTTGACCATTTACTGAAAGCCTGAACAGTATTTTCACATGTACAAATAGCATATAACAGGGGTCCCCAACCCCCGGGCTGTGACCCACTACTGAGCCTTGATCCGTTCAGAACTGGGCCACAGAAGTGGTGGTGAGCACGCACTCACATCCTTACTTGTGCAAGCAGTGGGTGAATGTGTGCTCCATTTGCACAGTAGTGGGCAAGCGTATGTGTTCCATTTGCACAAGTGTAGGTGCTTGTGCTCACTGCTTATGGAAATGGAGCTGTGCACACGAGCTTGCCCGGCACTTGTGTGGAACCATCCCTTCCCCAACCTGCTGGTCTGCAAAGCTGAAAAGATTGGGAAACTCTGATTAGAAATGTTATTATTCCCCAAATAAACATCTGTTTACAATTTTTAAAATTAATATTCCTTATATGATCTACTACTACTTGGATTCAATATTATTTTAGCATTTTTTCCTTCATGAAAAATTAATACCAAGTGAGTAACTGCAATTAGTCTGAAGGCTATAATGTTTATTCTTGCTTTCACTTTCTGTTAAAAATAGTTATAATTATGGATTATTTTCCTTCTCAGTAAAAATATATATTGTGAACTGCTTATTGTCAGTTTTCCATCCTTTCTTAATAGAAGCTGTTAAAGTGATACTGTGCATTAACTGCACATGATTTCACTTGATTTTTTTCTGGAATACTAAAGCTTATAAAGCTCCTTAATCAATCAATTCAGGAACAGTACCTCTGCCAATTATAATATCAGTTGAAATAAGATGAGATGAAATAATGCATTTAAGAAACTTATTTTATGAAGTATTTTCTGCTAATATCATTCATCATATAATTAAGTTAATTTTATAACAATACTTTCCTTAATTTTCCTAAAGCAGTAACCCCAATCCCATTCAATGTAATATTATATTGTGAACGTCTCTACAAAATGGCTACCTTGGAGTTCTGCCTATTCACAGAAAGGCTGCCATCATTAGCATGGCAGGTCACAAAACACTGATTTATAAGAGGACACACTAGTAAAATGCTTCTCAGTGCCCCTTTCTTAATGTCCAGTTTACCTTTCTCTTCTTTGCTTTGAAGCTGAGTAAAAATATATTCATTTAATTTATTATCGCATGGAGTCTGATGCCCACAGAGGAAGATGATTGCTGGTATACAAGTGTCCATAGGTCTATGGTAATTCCAGGAAAAGATACATGGTAGAGAAAATAGGCAACAGTGATTCTTTCAAAAGACTTTTCATATATTCTATTATAATATGGTTTAGACCTTTAGAAGTTACCTATTTTCATAGTTTAATTTAGAACTAACACAGAACTGGAACGTGAATTATTTTTAACACTGAGATTCTTAGTGTTAAAGTAAAATACTGCAATATTTTCTAGTACCTGTGCAAAAAACATAACCAAGGCTTAAAATGATAGAGTATGACACCTCATTAATAGTATAGCAAGGCATGTAGAACTAATCAGTGTGTGTTTATTACCCAGCATTGACCCCTCTGTGGTAAACATAACAGATGAAATGGCCAAAACTGCACAGTGGAAGGCTCTTTCCATGAACACAGAGAATGCCAAAGTAACAAGATCTAACTTGAGGTAGATTAATCATGCTTTATTATTTTGATTTTGCTTTATATGTTTAGATATAGAAACAGAACTGGTTGTTCATTTATATAATAAACAATGCTGATGAAACTTTTGGGCTTGGTGTGTCAAATATTCAGAAAACGCTTAACTTGACTCTTCTGGCATGTCTTCCCCCCCAAAAAGAGAAACAGTTATGTATCTCCCCTCCCCCATATAGACCAACCTGAACAATGGCACTAAGCAGTAGTGCCAAGATGGGCCTGAATAGAGTCTCGAACTTCAATTTCAGTCCTAATGCCCTGCTGCCATTCAAAAAAGCCACTCTTGACGTTCCCCAAGCACACTCCATTCTTGCTCACCCTCCAAAAGTCACGTAAGAATGAGGCATGCTTTCAAGAATAGTTGTTGTCAGGTGTTGTTGAATGCTGGTATGTCATCCAAAACATCATAGTTTTTCACCTTTGACATGCATGACATGAGTTTGCAATCACTGCCCTAAACACATACCTAAGAGCTTATGTTAAGGAGCTGTGATCCCTGTTTAGAATGATGGTTATAACAAAAAGAGGATAAATTTTAGCACAAATAAAACTGAAAATCAAGTATCCATATTAACAAAATGGATCTCCACTATTTTTATTATAGTGCTTTGAATGGGACAAGTAATGTGCTCTAAAATATTCTCAAACGATAACACATTCTGTTGCATGCTAAATATATTGGAAAATGAGTAATAATATATTGCTGAAAAAAAATAATCATTTGGACTAATATAAGCTCTTTGCTTGAGAATAACATGGTTTCTTTGATTATACATTAAGAATTCTGCTCCAAATTACATAAAATAATGGTGGACAATTTTGCTTGTGGACAGTGACTATATTTTTTTCAGGCTTAAAAATATAGAGCTTTAGAGTTTGATGTGGCAATGTTACTGTCTGAAGAATGCCCTGTCTTAAAGCACAAGTTTTGCAAATTGTGCTGCCATATTTCTGGGATATGCTGGCAAAATTTGTGGATGTTGTTTGAATTGCATAAAAAGGATCTAGTACATTCCTTTACCTGGTTCAAAATATTCCAGTTTTCTTTCAAATTTATTTTAGTATTCTAATTTTAATATTGCACATTTGAGTGGGTTCAGCTTGGGACTCACTATATAGTATTTCTGGGTTGACATATAATGTGAAAACTTCTTTTATCTTAACAATTGTTAAGAATCCATTTTTATTTTCCATTCACTCATCACTCAACTTCATAATTTCATTTCCCCTCTATAGTACAGTATACAGTGACTTCAGCTGATTTTTTTTCAACTGACCTATAATAGCCAACACAACTACAAAGTCTTGAGTTCAAATATTACAACAATTCATGCTTCTGAATTGCTCATAAACCCATCTTTTAGATACTTGCTACTGGGTATTTGCAGTGCAGCCCTGTCTATTATCTATAATCTATCCATCCACCCAATATCCATCAATCCATCCTTCATTGAGTTCTGATAATTCAAAGAGCTTTATATTCTAATGGTTATACTGGATTATAGCACAAAAGTCAGATATTGTATTTTATATGTTTAAATACATATCTATGATACACAAGATGGGAATCATTGTGACTTCTTAATTATCAATCTATATTCATTTATCTAAAAGAATGTTCTATTGAACTTGCTAGGCTTTAAGAAGATATGTATAAGGTATAGAATATATACCTTTTTTAATTAAAAAAGGCATTTATAGGTTAAATCTTGCTTTATGCTCCTAGCAATAAGTATTAAGTGGAGAGTGTGGGCATATATCCTTAGACAAAAATATTTTACATATAAAATTATATCAATATCAGCATCCATATATTATTAATACCTGTGTCTTGGCATTTTTAATCATGTGAATTTTTCTTAACAGCCCTGAAAATGAGCCATGTGTGAAAATAGAAATTGAAAAAACATCTGAAATAAAGTATGTAGATGCTGAAACCTCATTATAGAGGTAAAACAATGATATTATTTTATAGGATATACTGAAAGAGGGTGACTTCACAGCTTCTTTTAAGTACTAGGTACTTACGTGAACAGCAGTGAGATTTTCCAACAAGAAATGTCTATCACTGTGGAAATATTTATTTTAGTGGAATGTTTATTTCAATTTTTTAAATAGGAAAAATAATTTCCTTTTTAGTTATTAGTAAGTCAAAGATCATCTTCAATTATAAATTATTGGTTTGCATAGTATGTGACATTTTTATATAATTTTAAATACAAATGTCCTGTTATCAGGCATTTGCTAGTTGGAATTTTGCAAAAGTTATGCCAGTTTATAAGAACAAATCATACATATGCAACTTAGTGAATTGCTGTATTTCAGCCTTTATTTCATATTATTTTATGGATGAATTATTTGTATTTGTATATGAATTATTTTCTGAGCTGTACTTTTAAACACCATTTTATTGCATTGTATTCCATTTTTTAAAAAATAAGTCAGTTTTATTTTTTAATTCAGCAACCACAAGAGCAGATTATACTGAAAGAATAAAGCAGTTTTTTAATATAGAAATCTAGATTGGCATTTATTTAGACTGCCTTTTAATAAGGTTAAACATGATTATGGTTCTCTTTTTGTGAGATATGATTTAATTTTCTCCTGGGCATCCTGTAAATATGTTCCAAAGAGCTGGGGGAGTTAGCTGATGATTGGTAACTGCAGGAGAGGGAAGAAATTTTTATCACATAAATCAAAATTTTCCAGTAGTACTGTATTAGAACATCTGGATTTACATTAAGAGTTGACTTCTCTGACATAAACTTTATTTCTACTAGCATTGAAAATAAATTTATATAAGTTCTTGAGTCCATCATTTTAAAATTCAGTTCCAGGAAATAAAACCAGAATTGTTTTAAAATTATGGTAAATTTAAAAAAAAATGTTTTCCAAAGCATATTTGTCTTAGATCAATAAAAGCATTTATATAAAATGCTGGGTACAGCTGAGTTTGATCTGTGAAATGTTTAAGCCCTGTGTTTATAGATTTCATATATGCCACTGAAATGAGTAAGATTTGATTGTGCTTAAATAGTACCTGTTTACCAATTTTATAAAGACAGTTTGTCTAAAATTTAAGTTTTTTAGATCAGTACTGAAGATAAACATTTAATATAAACATCCATTTTAATATGGCTATGTGAAAACTGTAACCGAAAACACACATAACTTAATTTCAAACTGAAACTGAAGTTACTCCTGTTTACAGTGCACCAAAGATTTTTTTAAAAAATCTTACAGTGTAGAAAAGGATTTGCAGTGTGTGAGCCTCCCAATGTTATTAAACTTAAATTTTTGGCAGCAAGTAAGGGGTGCAAGATTTGTAGTTTCATTTGGCAACATCTAGAATTCTGGTAAACACAAAATTTTGAATATAGTTAAAGCAATTGTGGATTTTACCTGAAACAAGTGAGATAATAATGCATTTTGTTGAAAAGGGCCCAGTCATTCTCAGAAATGTTCAAATGTAAAACTGAGCAAAGAAAAAAAAATGAAATTATTAATTTATAGGCAAGTATGTTAAATGAAAATCTGATGCCTAAGAATGATAAATGAATATTAATATACTTGGGTTTGATATGAAATATTGGAAACAGAATAATATTTTCATTCCTGAATGCTTGCATAGCTTGTGCCTTAGTTTTTTTAAAAAAATATATGCACTTTTCTTTATTTAAAAATCATACTTGTTTGTATCTCATAAATATTTCTGTATCTTTGAAATTACATTTCAAGTTTGTTACTTAGTGTAGGCAAGTGAATCATGTTCATTAGTATTGACAGCATTCCAAATTAATTATACTTCTCTTTTGTTATTACAAATGTTTGTGTTCAGAGCCGTGTATAGAAATTTACAAAGACTCAAATAGATTGTTTTGAATTTTAACCCTTTGTTTTCAAATGTCTGAAATTCAATAATGCTGTTGTTCAATGCCAAAGGGTTAATAAGTTAATTTAAATAAATATCTGAAAATTATTGAAACTCATTATTTATTTGCTAATTATATAAAATAATTCTTAATGACAAAAATATTATGACTTGTAGTGTAGTTTATATTATTTGCTTAAATACTGCTTATTAATTCATTATTACACATTTTAATTTTTTGATGGCAGATGTCCAAATAGGATGTTTAAAACTCCAGTGCTAATTTATAATTTTCTATGTTGTATGTTGTAAAAACATTATTTCTTTTTCCATAAATAAAATTATAGTATTAAAGTAAAACAATAAAAGACACAACTTTTATTGTATATAGATATAAATATTGCCCTAAAAGCTATAAATGAGTAAAATTACTGATTCACCTTCGGGTGAAATATAATTTATAGCCAGTATATTCCCACTATGAGAATAGCTAAATGACTGTTTTCTAGATAACCTGTTTGCCTTCTTAGGAGCAGACTGATTTAGTGGAAATAACTGTAGAGCAATCCCAGGAAATGTACCTTTTCTGTTCTTTAAGGCAACATATTTTCAGTGCAGACTATCTGAATTTTAATTCTATGTAAACATTTTGCTTAAAATTGTTTAATGTCACAAACAGAACACAAATATCTTTTTTCATGGTTTGTGGAAACTCATGAACCCATATACATACATACATACATACATACATACATACATACATGATTCATTATGCTTAGTTTCTATATTCCACATTATTAACCATACTAAAAACAAATTATTCAATTTTTCAATGCAATCAATAAAATATGTAAAATAGTGTTCAAAGCATGTACATTACTTAGCATCCAACATTGTATTTTTCCTTTTACTTCAATTAAATTTATTTCTCTGTACAGTAGTCTTATAAACAGTGTTGTCTGGTAAAAATTCCAACCATAATTGTAATGTCAGATAACTGTAGTGCATTACAAATATTCATGGGTCTTCATTGTTTAAAAATGTGTTAATGAATTGTGTTATGTCCCCAACATAGTGCATGTTGGTCATTAGTAAAATGTATTGAATGTTATTTTCTTTTGACACATTTTGGTCAGTAATGTAAAGATTGTTAAGATGATTAATATAGGTTCCATATGTTATTTAGCACAATTACTATGAAGAACCCTTTAATTTCATAAATGAACAGGTGTGTAATGTGTCCATAGATACTTGTATTAATATAAAATGTTGTCCTGTGATTTTACTATTTTGAATTTTTTATTACTTTTTAGAAAAATTATCAATAACAGGAAAATGCTTATAATTGATGTGAAAATAAGAAAAATCATATTTAGCATATATTGTCACTGTTTTGCAAACTTAGAATAACTTATTTAATGGACAGGTTTTTATAAATGCAGTTTATTCCCTTTTGTCACTTATACTTTGTTTTGTAAGTGTCTTCCAGTGTTCAGAATTGCTTCCTGTACAAAACCATCTACTTTGATTTGAGGTGTAATTCTACAGTATACTCCAATTTATATAACGGTTTTCTAATCATACATCATTTTCTTATAGAATTATATCCAAAGTTACACTGTTTGAATGTAGAGATAATATTTTATTCTTTTATATAATGCCTACAAAATTCTCCGGTATGTAATGGAAAAAAATCCAATGTTTTATCATTTGTTTAATGACTATTTTTTGTAATATTTGAAAAGGTTGAAAAAAAGCAATAAAATGTCACTGCTTTTAAAGACTCGAGTTACTTTTTTTATATATACATTGTACCTTAAGATTAACATATCTAATGAGGGGGAAAAGGGACTCTTAAATATTAGACCCTTTCTCTGAGGCCTATCATTTTGAGATAACAGTGCCTATGGATGAACAACAACTAACAATTGGGTTTTCTTGCTGCCATCATCCCATCACTATAAACCAGTTTCTCTTTTTCTACACCAACTCTCTGGGAAAACAGAAAAGATTGAAAGGGAAATCCTTGTCCCACTCTAGGTCTGACTAAACACTAAAGAGAAACAAATGTTTAGGAGTCAGTAGCTAGAAATCAATATTTTAGCCAGTCTGAGGAGGATGATAGAAGCCAACCAGCCAGGACTGAAACAAATAAAAACAGTTATCAAAAGAAAGTAATTTTCGGAGGGAGGGAGGGAGGGAGGGAGGAAGGAAGGAAGGAAGAGCTTAATATGAATCTGCTATGGTACTGATCTTCCAAAGCAAGCTCACAAATAGCAGATCTTGTTAAACAACTTAAGCCTGGTAATGATTTTATTGCTACTAAAGTTATTCAGACCTGTTGTTGGACCCTTCTTTAGTTTCATTTATAGTTTGTAAAATGTTAATTCCAAAAGACTAGGTTTAGTTTTGATAGTTCCAATCAATAAAAAGGTATCTGGGTTCTGCTTGCTAATTGTTGGCCTCTGGTCTATGGAACGTGTAAAAGAATTTTGGGTTAGAGCTGGGATATAATTTTTGCTTGGAGTCATATAACCCATTTACCTTTTTAGAGAGAGTACAATCTAAATACTTAAGGGATTTCAAATTCCACAATGTGTTCCCAACATTGTCTTAACACCATTTGGCTGGCAGGACAAACATTGAAATTCATATTGATACATCCTCCCCTATTCAGCTACAATGGTGCTGAATAAGTGGTGATAACAACCAGTCCTTAGAAGGACATATGATTGTGATCTGCACTTATAAGGTTGCAGTATTCCACAGTCATGTGATTACCATTTGCAACCTTTCCTCAAAGCAAAGTCATTTGGCAGAATGGCAGTGGGGATCGTAAATTGTTCAGATAAGTCTCCCATCACCCTTACATCCTTCCCCATTGCACTTACATTGCATCTTGCTGGCCACCTGCATATCCTCACACACTCTCTCCCATCCAGCAGTAGCCATCTCAACCCCAATAGACCTCCCTGGCCATTTTTGCACATGGCAGCAGCCATTCAAGCTCTGCAGCATTTGTTCCATGTCTCCCACCTGACTATCACCCTCTTGCAGCAGGCACTTAAGTGCCTGCCAGCCTGTTGCAAGCCACCTGGGACTTGCAACTTCCTACTGACTTTGATTATTGGAAGCTGGCAGGAAATTGCAAGGAGGTGCTCACTTAACAACCAATGATCCTCGCTTAATAATAACAGAGACTGCAAGTATTTTGTTGCTAAGCAATGTGGTCATGTGATGTTGCACTTTATGACATTATGACTGCATCACCTAGTGATGATACTCCTGGCAGTCCAGATTGTCATTATAATCCCAAGATGTACAAGTCATTAAGCAGAATGTGGTTAAAGTCCCAGATAAAGTTCTGAAGGCACATGGGTGGTAGTGGAGTGGGGAGGGCTGGGAGATCCTGGGAGGTCCTAAGTTGCGCAGGCAGCATGTGAATTAGGGGAAGATAGGACACTTGGAAGGTTGAGCATAGGCTGCATATGGCTTGGGACAGGCCAGAAGATGGATGGTGCAATGGGACGAAGTACAGAAGATCGGGGGATGGGCAGTGTGGCATAAGTGAAAGAAAGTCAGACTGACTTACCAGAGTGACTTCTGGTAAGTCATTTTGTTCCCTGCTGGCTTCCTTATTGACTTTACTTATGGGAAGCTGGCAGGGAATGTTGCAAATGGCAACTGTGTGACCATTGGATTAACGTTTGTAAATGTGAGCCAGCTGTCAAGCTTCCAAATTGTAATCACATGCCATGTCAGTGCTAGAATGGTTGGAACTTCAAGGACTGGTTATAATTACCATTTGTTCAGTGCCATCACAACTTCGAACAGTTGCTGAATAAGTGGTTGACAAATAAAGACTACCTTTAAAGCTATGCCTAATTGCAACTGAAAATTGATTAGCAACGTGAAATATAGGATAGCTATTATTCCTAATGTTTCACTAGTAATACTAATCTGGGATAAATGTCTTTCATTACATTTACAGAATCACAAAAATGATCAGTAGGACTGGTAGAAAAAAAGATTGATTTAAATGATTGGCAGCTATTAACTTACAAATGTATGCCATACAGAAAGTGTAAATTATTTTGTGCTTTGTTGAGAAGTTTGCCCAGTCTCCTGGTTTGAAGGGAGAAAGCTTAATTCCTAAAAATCCTGGTAACAGAAGAAAGATGGATGGATACTTTTTTGTGAAAAAAATGGCAAAAGACCACCATCTCTATTATCATATTCCTGGTATAGAGACTCATTCCTACAGAGGGAATAGGTTCCTTGGGGAAAGAACAAATGCTCCCCCTTCTAATATATATTGATGGGGATTCCTAGAAGTGAAGTTTATGATTATCCATAATAGAAAAAAGAACATGTCCTATAAAACATTTGGTAATTTCCTTGTGTGATATAATAAATGTTCACACAATATATGCATTATCTGATATTTAGTACTGAGGAGAAATAAGAAGTAATGATATTTCTCAGCATAAATAACAGGAAGAAATGAAATGTGGTCTAGAAACCAAAAGTAAACTCTTCGATAAGATTAATAATAACTTTAACTAAAATGCTATTTGATTAAAGAGCTGGTCTGGCTATACAAACAAAACTGAAAATTCTCTATGTGGATGAAAGTAGGATACAGATAAAGATTTCATCTTTTTAGGCATTTAGGACCAATTTATGACAGATTCTAGGCCTATAGTATATCCAACTTGATTAATTAAAAAAACCCATTTAGTGCCTTTCAAAACACAGGGTTCTCAGAATGGCTTTTTATGTGTGTCCCTTCAAATCACTTTTGCCTCCTGGTGACTGCCTGAAGAAATGCCTGTAGTTTTCTTGGCAGGATTTTGGAAGCAGTTTACCATTGCTTATTTCCTAAAGCTGAAGAGAGTGACTGGCCCAAGTTCATCTAGCTGGTTAGTGCCTAAGGGGGAATTAGAACTCAAGATCTCCAGGAATAGTTTTAATTATTTCAAGTTATTTTAATTATTTAACCTCCATTAGGCAATAAATTAAAAATACAGAAGTAATTAAAAATTTCCATTTCAGGAATGCATATGTATTCTTCCTCACAGTGGTATTGCGGAGTAAGGAGTAATATCGTTGAGATAGTTTGATCCTATCCTTCCATCATACAAGACTATGGGAGAAAGTAGAGGAGGGTTTCAAACATCATCTTAAGGTTCCAAAAAGGTTCCAAAAAGTGCCCTATGATATTATGGAATCATATTTAACATTAGAAAAGGGCCTAATAGTTTTTACACTGAACCTTTAGGGAAGGCAACAGTACTTGGGAAATAATTCAGCATGAAACATTCTTAGCAGATGTGGAAAAAAAAGTTGACCAAACAGGAACTGAGTATTGTAGAAAAGCCAGAAATATGTCATAAGACAGGATATGCAGTCAGTCAAAGAAACCATAGCAAATATATGCCAGGAGCAGTGGAAGGGAAGTATTCTCAGGGGAAAAGCATCCATGACTGAAAAATACTGTGTTTAAGTCTATAAAGGAATACGCTTTAAAAAATAGATGCTGGATAGTGTACTGACTTCATCAGGGTTAAGATATTCCAGGGCTCGTCTTATAACAAGCAATATATAGACTAGTGTTTTTCAACCTTGACAAGCTTAAGATGTGTGGAGTTAACTCCCAGAATTCCCTAGCAGCTGACTAGGGAATTCTGGAAGTTGAAGTTCATCCAGCTTAAAGTTACCAAGGTTGAAAACACTGATACAGATATATCACCCAGCTTCCACTTGGAGGAGTATGATCACTTTCCCTTTTACAGTTTCCCTACATTGGCGGTTTGACGTCACCGTTCTTGGGTGGCGCTGAGCTAGAATCATTCTTTTGGATTCTAGCCGCGCGGCTTTTCTGTTGCTATGACAACAACGGTAGTGTTAGTTAGTCGTTGTCCCGGAACCTTCTCGGCCTTTTTCTACGGAACTTAATCATTGGTTCTCAAAAGCGACCTTTACGGAAAAGGCGCATTTTCATTGGTTCTTGCGTTTGCGGATTTGATCACTCGGCAGACTGGAGCTTTTTATTTGGTTTAAAAACAAGCATTGGTATAATTATTACTGCAAAAATAAATAGTAAACAAGCGAACTGCCGTGGTGTAAGAACTGGCACTCGAAGCAGGTGAGTGATAGAACGGCGGCCGAAGGGCAGCGATGTCCTTCTTCTGTGCAAAAATTGGGGAGGAGAGACGGGAGGAGTTAACAGTGCCCAATCCCCCTGCCCGCCTGAGATCAGCCTCGAATTTTGCGATTAGAAGGAAAGGCACGGAGACCCACGGAAAGCAGCGCTGGCAGTTCCTCAAAATCCTTTTACGGCATGAGATTTAGCGTCGGCGCGTGTGAGACAAATGTGCATATACATGGGCAGAGTGTGTGACTTTTACTGAAAACCAGGAACAGCTCTGAGGCAACTTTAAACAAGAGCTGACTTACTGACCTATAATAAGCTTCTGTAGAGCCCATTGGCCAAGTAAACAGGGCACGCGGCCTCCTCCGTGGTTATAGATGGGCTCGGGTTAGAAAGGTAAACCGTATGGTGCGTATAAACGAGGGCCTCAATTTAATATGTACATGAAATGTAAGAAGAACAATCTACCATTTCTTTTCATCAAGAATTGTATTCGAAATTTTCTTTTCTTTTTTGGGGGGGGCTCCAGTTTTCAAAGATTTTTCCCCTATTTCTTTATAGGAGACCAATAGTGTAGGTTTGAGGAAAAAAACCAGGATAACCAGTTAGCCATATGTAATATTGCAAAATTTATTAATTTGTATTCTGCATTTATTATTTTTACAAATAACACAAGATAGTGATGCAGCATATTGCTAGAAAGCTGGACCCACTCTATGATTTCTCTAATTCAAAAGTTAGCAATGCAAGGGCAATTCAGTATGTTTTGGTTTGCTGGATGTCACCTACTTTACAATGCAGTCTAGAATACCACATTTATTTCTATTAGTATATATACTATATCAGTCATTGACCTTGGCTAATTTCAGAGGCTAAACAGGATCAGCTAAACAGATGCCAAACAGGTGGTGAATGCCTTGAGAAATCCAGGACTGTTATGTAGACTGGGAAGTCAAATATAATGGGGGACAATAAGTTCTCTTCCATAACATTGCTAACAAAACTAGATGGATGCAACTATCAGAAGTCAAGCTTGACATTAAGAGTTCTGTTTCTGGGAACTTCTAATTTAAATGCATGAATGGATATGGATAAAGAGATACAATTAGAGTAGTATAGTATTACTTTAGAGCTCTACTATGTGTGAATATATCATCTCATTTTTCTGTTTATCGTTCAAAAATATATTTTGTATTAAGATGTATAAAGGCTTTGGGCACTTGCACATTTACATTATCACTTCCTTATTTACAGGGGGAGGGGGAAGACTCTGTACATAGAATGTTGCCTTTTTAAAAGATGTAATAGGTATGGCCAATAATTATATATATCTTCTGCAGATTGTTGACTTTTTTCTCCAGAAATCAATGACAGAAGATTTTACATTCAGAACTACAAGATCTGCTCAACTAGTTCTGTGCGCTCCACATCCAAATTCCTCGTGGGCTTGTTGCAACCCATGCCATGCTACATTAGAAACCACTGCCCAAAATGGAGAGGTATCTCAAAATTAATTGATAAAATGAAAGCTTGTATATTATATTGTAATGATTAAGCTGTTAGACTAGGACCAAAGAAACTCAGGTTTTAATCTGTACTTATATAGGGAGCATTTTTGCTGATCTCTTTCAATCCAGTCTGCCTCACAGAACTGATGTTAACTGGAATTAAATTAAAAAAAGATCCCCATATGAGTTCCCTTCTACTCTTAAAGGAAAAGTGGAATCTAAATCTAACAATAAATAAACAACCTGATGTACTACTTAAAATTCAAAGATAGAATAAATCCCACTTAGAGATGATTTTGTGAGTTAACTCAGTTAATATTATTACTACAGGTTTTATCTTTTAGTTAACATATATTTCTTTTTCAACCAACTCTATTTATTTTCCTCCAGTTGCTGAAATTCTGTTCCCATTGTTCTTCACATGTCCAGAAACCAATATTCTTTTTTACATTTGTTTCCTTTAAGAATTAATTCTGCTGCCTTGAGGGTATAAAATGCCAGATCAACTCAAGAAGGTGAAGACCAAAGAAAAGGCAGTAGATACTAAATCTCAAAGGTAAAGTATTTTTCACTAAATGTCAGCAATAACTCCTGCATTTGCACCAGCCATTAAATAGTCTGAACACTGTGTGTACATGGTTACTGTTTCTCTGGTCACCAAGTGTGACAGAAATAGCTGTGGCTGACAAGTCTATATAAATGTAGGCAGAGACAGGGAATCATAGAAAGGGGCTCTAGAAAGATTTTTTTCTACAGAATAGCATGGATAAAATTACATTTCATAATGATATGGTAATTATGGATTGTTAACAGATATATAATTTCTTTCCTCCTAGGGATTATTCTGATCTTAAAAGGCTTCTAGCCTTTCTAAATGTCCAGTCTAGCAAGCAACAGGTACTTGTCCAAATTGCTGTAATTTGAATCAATGTTTTAAAAATAGTAAATCTTGTACAATGAATTTCATGGTTTCGATATGCTTACAGTTTCCTCTAATAAATAGTATGAATTGCATAGAAAGAACTCAATTAGGTTTCCTAAGTGCTTATGTTTTATAATGAATTATTTTGTATTTTTTGTGTTGTATTTGCTGTTGTGTTGCTTCAGCATCATTTTGCTTGATTATAGGTAAAACAAATTCAGAGTTTTGGATAATAATAAACTGGATGATAATAATATCATTTCATGTCTGTTTCTGTCCTGGGTTTCAATGTAAAATGCTTCATATTTCTAGCAGAGCAGTTTTCATTAAGAGTTTTGAAAATATGAGGTAGTATAAATTCCAGAAACACTGATTAAACTAAAATCTGATCTTAAGAGACAGTACTGATTAGATCAGATTAAAATGGATTTGGGAAATAGTTCCATCTGTGAAACAGAAGCCTACTGTAAGTATTTGGCATACCCACTAGGGATTACATAAAAGCATTGTCTCCAGTACTTCTACATATTTTCAGCTTTCTATTCAGTTCAATTCAATCAATTCTATTCTATTCAGCTTTCTATTCTAATCTGTGTAGGATAGCTCCTACTTTATTCTGTTTTATCACACTAAGACTGGACTGACTGATAGGTAGATTGCTTTTGGGTTCAAATCAAGTGCAGCTAATGATCTATAGATTTCAACCCTATAGCATAGGTTTGGTTATTTGAGGGAATGCTTTTCCCCAATCACATCTACCATCCCATGAGGCCTGATAGGAAGGGCAAGTTGTGGAACCTGAGCAGAAAAGATAGTATTTGATAGGGCCCAGGAAAAGAGCCTTTTCTGCCATACCATCTGCCTTTTAAAATATCATTCCCCCGAGGTCAAATTGGCCCTGACCTTTGTAAATTTCTGGAAGGGCCTGAAAACATGGCATACCATCTGGCCTAACATAGGCATGGAGCCTGCATAGTGGCTATATTGCTAGTGAAATTGAATGCATGTCCTACAATTACATTTTTATGGTTTTTAATGGTTTTTGTTATGCTTTTGGTTATTTTCTTGAACTGTTTTTGTGTTTTTAACTTTGTATGCTACTCGGAATCACATGTGTGAAATGAGCAACTATATAAATTTATGAAATAAATAAATAAATAAATACATACATACATACATACATACATACATACAGTCCAAAGCAGAGACTGCAATTTAGCTTCTACATGTTCAGGCCATCAGGCTCAGGCCACTTGGGAAGAGTTGTCTAGAGCAGGGCTTTTCAACCTTTTCACAGATTGTACCACTTTTAGGACATGACAATATTTGAGTACCTCCAGTGCTTAGCAAGGTGTCAAAAACGTGATGACTAAAAAAAAAGGGGGGGGGGATTTTGGGTTTTACTGATTAGATTCATTTGTTGTTATAGAAATGGCTAGTTTATAATATTATGGAAAAATAAAAAGATGAGGTTCAATGTTAATGCTTCCTTCTACTGCAGCAGAGGAAATCAGCTCTTTTTCCCTTCTCCCCCTCAATTTTCCCCCCTTTTTCTCCCCACTGTGTCCTATTATTTGCTTTTGTATTTTTGTATTTTATTCTATAATCTAATAAAATATTACGAACTGTAGAAAAAAAGGAAAAAAGTACCAACTTTAATTTCTTTGGTGGCTGTTCCTTTGCTGAATCACTTTCCCTTTGCACTGACAAATGTATGATGAATTTATCCATGTTTATTAATATGCACCACTACCAGCTAGCTCATGGGTCTTCAAACTTGGCACTTTTAAGACTTGTGGACTTCAACTCCCAGAATTTCTCAGCCATCATGGCTGGTTGGGGAATTCTGAGAGTTGAAGTCCACAGGTCTTAAAGTTGCTAAGTTTGTAGACCCCTGAGTTAGCTGGTTGGCCCTTGTTCCTCTCTCCCTTCTGAGCTCTCCTTCCACACTGTAGTAAGAATGCACCCCCACCTCCAATCCCTTCCCTGAACCCTAATGACACAGGAATCAAGTGCAAAGCAAGAAAGGGTCACAAAATAAAAAAACACATAAACTCCGTTTTTTTTTCTTTAGGCATGTTGTGTCACAATGTGCAATCTGAGACTGAAAGGCTCTGGCAATTGCGAAAAGCTTTAGCCTTAAATTAAGCCTGTTTACCTTCAAAGAAAACTTTCTAAAAGCCATAGACCAGTGATGGCGAACCTTTTAGAAACTGAGTGCCCACACTGCAACCCAAAACCCACTTATGCATCATTGGGTGCCAGGTGGGTGTGGCCCATTGGCTGGGTGTAGCCCATTGGCTGGGCATGGCTGTGGTGGTAATGGCAGACTGGGTGGGACTAAAAAGTTCAATCAATCAATTCCAACTTTGCAACATTTTTTTCCCGTGAGAAGTTGAAATTGACTGATTGAACCTTTTTTTTTTTGCACACAATGGCGGAGGCCTAAAGCGAAAAGGTTTTATAAAACCCAGCTGAAGGCCTACGACTGGGGCGACGGCGCACGTGCCCACAGAGAGGGCTCTGAGTGCCGCCTCTGACACCCGTGCCATAGGTTCGCCACCACTGCCATAGACAGATTCAAGATAAGGGGGTAAAACTAATTACATTTGTTTAAAGGAGTTAAATCTACGGAAGTGAACACTTTGGACTCATTGCTAGCCTAAAATACAGACTAAAATATTCCAATAACCAAAGCACACAAACTGAGCCTCTGAATTACAAAACGCTGTAAAAACTGTACAAAAATCCTTATGGTAACCCAATCAAGCTGATCCAGAACTAAATAAACCCACGTCCTTTCCGACATGCCTGCTTTTCATTTCATCAGCATTGATTGCATTCTCCTGGCTGGAGAAAACGAACCAGGGGAGCTTTTCTGCTGCTTCTTCCCTGTCCCTGTTTCCTCCCTGCCTGCTGAGCTCTCCTTCTCTTTCCCTGTTGTCTTTTTTCCCTTTCCCGCCCAAACCACCTCCTTTTATAACTTCTCTTCTCCTCCCCCCCCCTTTTTCTTCAGTTCACCTCCAGCTCCGTGCTGCTTCCGGAAGCGCCAATCAGCTAGAGCCAATCAGCTGGAGCCCTACTGGCTCCTGGGGCTTCTGCCAAGCCCAGACAGTCCTGAAACTGCAGCTGCCTCTCCCTCAGACTTGGGTCACTTTGGCTTATTCCCCTCCCCCACTACACTTCTCTGGGACAGTCACGTACCACCTGCCAGTGGCAAAGTACCACAGGTGGTATGTGTACCACCGGTTGAAAAACCCTAGTCTAGAGTCCTACACTGACCAGGTCATATGTTACTGTACAGTCTTTTGTACCCCAGAGCCTATTGGCAGCCTTTAAAGCAAGATTCTAATTTGAAGTTTATTGAAGCTGCCCTCTTTGTGCTGCTGATCTTCCAGTTAAATGCTTTAAATTATTGGCATTTTTCTCCAATAATCCAAATTCAAATGTATGTGTGTGTGCTTGTGTGTCTCTGTGTCTCTGTGTGTAAAGATACTCAATCTAGATAAATATCAATGACTAATCCTAAACACAGAGGAGTACTAATAATTGTATCAGTTATCTATATTTCATATATCATTATTAGTATTATGGAATTCCATTGACAATCACTGATATTATTCTGGTTATATTAAGTAACTTACTTAACTGACAACCCTGTCTTGCATTTGCAGTTGCCAGCCCTTAACTTTGAAAGTATTAATAATAGTATGACCAAGTCTGAACGATATTCTAGCAATTCTTGCAAAGAGAAATATAGAGGTCAGTGGGAAGAATCTTCTGAAGCTGTTGAACTGGAACACTTCAGGTACAATGTACTGAAATTAATTAAGGTTTATTGTATTTTCGTGCATTTACTTTCAATATTGTTAACTTTTATTCTCAAGCATCTATGCAAATTTGAGGAAGAGGTTTCTGAAAGCTTTGATTATAATTAAAGTACAGCACTGAATACAGTTAAAGAACTTTCCAAAAGTTTTCAGCACCCTCCAGAAATTATTGCTAACTTGGAATTGTTCGAATGATACAAGGGTAAAGTAATAAATACCAATAGTCATACTACTTACGTATAATTTTAATTAAATGAAGTCCAATTTAGTTTTTTTAGCCCTCCCATTATTTTTGACATACCATTAGAAAGTCCGAATGAAATTCTAGCTTGAAAAAAATTGTGCATTCCTATTCTAGAGCTTCTTAGAGCAGTGATGTACTTCTGAAGTATGCTTATTCTAGATACCTGAATTTAAGACATAACTATCGTATTAATCTATTGATGCTTCATATATGGATGACAAAGTAGAATTTCTATAGTTTTAGTCATGTGAATATTTTATATATAATTATTTCCTCTCTTGTTGAAGAAGTCTCATTTAAAGCTGGGAGAGTAGGGCAGGTAAAATCATTTGTACTGTCAGTACAGATGATAGTATAGTAGTCTGAATTCATATGGAAATATATTTTCAGTGACCATTTATAAAATGATCTTGATTGAATGATGTTCATTGTATTCTACGAATGGCACATTATGAATAAAAGAGTGCCCTGTCCATTTTGCTGATTAGAAGAAGTTCTGAAGTTTACTGCACAGACAAAGAAATGACTGACATCGACTTACTACTGATTGCTCAATGACCATTCAGATTTATAGCAGACTCCCCAAAAGCTATTTATGACCTGTTCCCAAAGTTACAACTGCTATAGTGGACTCGTGGTCATTTTCCCTTATCAGCGACCACAGGAATGCTGCACTCCCCTCGTCCTTCTCACTAGGTCCTGGCAGGCTTTGAACCTGTTTTCCATCCTCATTTACTATTTGAAGATCTCTTTTGCTCTAGAGCTTAGATTAGGGAAGCATAACAAGCCACTTTGTTGCAGGGCCATGTGGCACAATCCCAGAAATGGCTTCCATTTTCCAAGCAGCCACATTGAATTGTGGTTGCTCAGAAAATAGCGGCCACTTCTGAGATTGCACCACATCATCCAACAATGGAGAGTTCTATTCTGCTTCCCTGATGTGGACTGTGCAGCAATGCGGGCTTCTGGAGTGTTGTGCAGATCACGTTAGGGAGGCAGAATGGACCACTACTTTACTGGGCCATGTAGTGTGATCCCAGAAGTGACCATTATTTTCTGAATGACCAGAATTTAATGCAGTCATGTTGAAAAGGCAGCCGCTTCTGGAACACTTCTGCATGGTCCAGAGACACAGAGATTTGTTCCACTTTCCTAATGCAATTTGTACACTACAACACAAAGCTCTTGAGCTTGCCTCAGCATTGCATAGATTGGATTAAGGAAATAGAATGAATTAGTTTGTTGCTGGGCCCAAAGTGGCTGCCTTTTTGACGCAACTGCATTGAATTGTGAGGAAGGGGTGAGGAGGAAGTATAAGCCCTACAGTGATTCAGTGGAGAGGAAGGCATGTGGGGACCCGATGGGAAAACGGCTACCAGAGATCGGGGGGGGGGGGAAGCAGGTCCAAAGACTGTGGGGACCCCATGTGGTAGGAAGCAAAACATGGAATGTCTTGGGATGGGGAGGCTTTGGGATGCCTGGAATAGGCCTAGGCCTGTGGCAGGCTTCTAAGAGCCTTCCCCCACCCATGAGACACCACATACTCCACTTAACGACCCACATAGTTGTTTAACAACTGCATTATGATGAGCAGGAGTTGGTGGGGTAAGGGAAGGCTCCATTATGGCTAGAGGTCGAGGATTACCTGTATTGCCTTTATTTGTTCTGAGATAGCCAAGGGACTGGAGTTATAAGCAAACATAAGCTTGATAGGAAAGCTGTGCATCTTTCTCTAGCTGGCTAAATGCTGTCTTGGGACAAACGGATGGTTGTAATTACCAATTCTTAAATTGGTGAGCCAGGGTCAGTCATATTTCATTTTCCAATAGGCATATATGACAGTTCTTAGAGTATACAGCACTAAAGATAATTGCAATATTCAAGGAAGAGGGTGTGGCCATGCTGGTGTTTTCCCTGAGACTAAGCAATGAGCCCATGCCTGAGCTGCAATATGATTGTAGTTTTTTTTAGAAGTTTAACTTCATGTATATGTTGGATTGGAGTATATATTTTCTGTAATTTATATTTTTATAATGCTTTTTGTACTAAGATTTGAGCCTTTTGCAATGTCTGATTTGCCTTTTGTGCCTTTAGTATGAATTACAAGAATGAAAGAAATTTTAGTCAACATCCGCAACACAAGTTATTTCAAGATATCTTCACAGCTTTGGTTAAAAACCGGCTTATTTGCAGGTAAGAGATACAGACTATATGTATAGCTTGTTAAAGAATGCTGCAAAATTGGAGAGATTTTGGGTTTTTAAAATATATAAATTTATATAATTAGATACAGCATTAATATGATACGTTCTGTGTGATTTGTCTACCCTTGTAGGCATGTCTATAAATGGATACTCAGATGTAAGTAATTAATCGGAACAGGTTGATAAAGGACTGTAGCATAAATTGTTAGAAATCATAATTTATAGATATTTGATAGTAGAACCTGATTTTGATATTTATGCATTCTTGAATTGTATTAAGTTTTGATTTCCAGTAGTAAAAGGAAGTAACGTTACTAACTGTAAAGTTCTTATGAGAGGCTATTGCTCTCTTTTATTTGACCAGTTTCCAGATAGCTCCAAGAAGGTTGCAATGTTTTTATTTATTAATTAAATTTTATGTTGCCCATTTCACTGATAAGATGACTTTGGGCTTCTTACAAACGAAAAAAAACCATATATCTAGAAATAATTAGAATACAACAAGTTGCACAAGAGTTAAGACCAAGGAGAAGGATAAGATGAAGGTGAGGTCTTCTTGTTTATTTTGACAACCATCTCCAGCAAGGAGAGCCAGGGCCCCAAAGTAACCAGCAAAACCAGGCTTTTGGGCCCCTTTGAAAGGCCAGGGGAGTGGGAATAAATCTCACTTCCAATGGTAAAGTGTTCCACAGTGCAGAAACCACAATGGACAAGGCTCTTCTAGTTGACCCCACCAGATGAAATTCTTTAACAGATGGGGTTCATAGTAAGCCCCTTCCATGTGGGGCAAGATAATTCTATTGGGGGTCTTCAGATAACCTGGACCCATACAATAAAGGTCATTAAAGATGATGATCAATAACTTGAATTGGACATGGAACCAATGCAACTGGCACAACAATGGTGTTATATGCCACCTTAGGGACCCCCAGAACTATCCATGCCACTGCATTTTGCACCAGCTATAGCTTCTAAATACTCTTATGGTAGAGGGCATTGCAGCAATCCAATTGAGAGATGATTAGAGTATGAGGGTCTGTGAGCAGGGTCTCATGATCAGATAACACGACTGGCACACATTGCAAAATTGCACAAAGGCCCTCCTAAGTCATGATTTTCTTCTGCTCTTCAAGCAAGAGTTTAGAAGAATTCTCAGATTGCTAACCAAATCTGCCTGGGATAGTACAACCCCGTTCAGAACTAAAGATGATAAACAACTGGAAGCTGAGATTCCCTGCAACCATAGCCACTCCATCTTATTAAGATTCAAATCAAATCTCTTGTTCCCCATTTAGACCTTCACAATCTCCTGGTACTGCAAAAGGGCAGCCACAGCATCACTTTGATAACCAGAGATAATGATGTAGAGCTGAGTTTCAGCTGGTATCTCATCCCATGGTATTGGATGATCTCACCCAGTGATTTCATGTAGATGTTTGAAAAAGCCATATTCATGATAAACTGTTTTTGCAGATCTGTTTGTCAAAATTCAATGATTTTGGGAATAAAAACCAAGAATGCTAACACTCATTTTGATCCTATATCTGATTCTAATCTGATGCTAATCTTTTCCTTAAGAAGTATAATCACACAGTACTATTGTACCTAGAAAAATTGGTAATGTCCACAAAATCATGTCTATGAATGCAAAACCTATAGTACATGTTAATATATCACAGTTTCAACTTGTAGCATAACATTAAATTTAAATTAAATTTAACTATAAAAAACAAGATTGTTTTATATCCCCAAATGTTCCAATAAATTGTGTACATTGCTTCTCATAGAATGGGAAGCTATTTAAATAAAATATAGATGTCAGCTTTTGTTTTTTTTTAAAGTGTTTTATTACTTATTACTGCATTTTCCCTAAGGCAGGATGGGTAACCCATGGCCTGTGGTCACCCTGTAGTCATTAGTAACACTGTTGTCAATCCGCCCCCAATCTTAGAATCTGTTTGTCTCTCCTTCCCTCCCACTGGGTCAAATTAAGCTTCTACATGGAAGCAGAAAACTGCCAAGAGGCAAACTACTCTCCTTCCATTCTCAAAACCTCCTCCAAATCAGGTTGGTTTCTCAGATTTAGTTTGGTTCATTTGTTGACATTTGGCTGGTTTAATTATTTCTAGAGTACAAAGTCTTAAAAGTTAAATACCCAAAGGTGCTCTTTATTTTATACTAATTTTATACTAACAAGAACAATCCAGTGAAACTGACTGAGATAGTAACTGATCTAAAATTGCCAAGTGAACTATTTGGTCAAGGAGGATTTGAGCATGGATCCAGTACCTTAATCCTATATCAGTGTGATACAGCACACTCACTAAATGTATAGAATTTAAATCAGTTATAAATCCCATTACATTCGGTCAAGTTTGATTTAAATTGCATTTGAGCTATAGCCATTTTTCATATAATGTGAATAATTTGGCTGAATTTCAAAGGCTTCATGCTATGTTTTAGTTTTACATTAAATTTATTTTTTCTTTATTAACTGAAATAGAGATCAATTGTTAAATAGTTTAAATAAGTCCTTTTCTGTGGAGAGAACCTTGAAAAGAGCCATAGGCCCAGAGAGATTGTTCCAAATAATATAATTTTGGGGAGTTAATTTATATCTACAGCAGTACCATCTTTGCTTTTTACTAGATTATTTTTAGAAATTGACTTGATGGCCAGCATATCCTTGAACTGACATTTTAATCACTGCTATTTCTGAGACGGAATGAGTGAGAGGAAAATAAATTGAAATGTATCTTACATTTGTATAGTTATGTATTTGCATTTTTAAAGATGTTAAAACAAAACTTTAAAAAATTACTTGCAAAAAAAAATAAAGATGAGATTTTTTTTTCATATGAGGTAAGTTCAAACATAGTCCTCTTTTGCCTTTGTCTTAAGTGTTGAAGCTATTGAAATCTGGGGCATGGAGAAGTGGCAGGAATGAAGTATTTGTTACTCCCAAATGTCTGTCACATTTAAAGTATGTTTTCTGCAGTGATTTATTTATTTTCATAATGACATAATTATGATGCAGTTCCCATGCTATCAAGAGATTAAAATTGTACTATCCCTTAGTCTTCCTCTTGCTATTGTTTATCTGTACACCTACTCCCCAATTTATCTCTGTCAATCTTTCTGCTGGCTTGTCCACATATCCTTACTCTTTCTAGAAATATCAATAAAACTTTGAGTTAATGGACTTTGTCCATTAATTGGGATGGGATATTTAGATTCAATTTTGTCATTGCTGTTAGGCTTTGCAACTGCCTAAACTAATAATGATTCTTTTCCAAGGACAATTTTCAAAGAGTTCTCTTTAGTAAGATATATTGAGATGAATTTATTTAATAGAACTACAAAAATTCCAGAAGGTTTCCTGCATTCCTCTGTTTCACAAACACAGGATGCACTGAAGAGAAAATATCTCTCTTCATCAGTAATGGGGAAGCCTGAATCTGCTTTTTATATGAAGGTTGCCTGAACTCATTAAAAACTGAGGTCTATAAGTTTGAGGTTTTATTGTACTTAAACACTCAGTTCTGTGTTGCTGATTTGAAAGCAATAAAATTTTTGTTTTGATTTTGTTCTAAATTTAGAACAACATATAGTTTAATTAAAAATAAGTTAAATAATTGGGAATAAGTTATTTGTATGGGTCCAGTTTATGAGATGCTATTTTCTTGTCTGTAATTGTCTGAATGTTAGCTAAAAATATGAAGTTGCTCAATCAGAATATATTTGCCTAGAGTTATTAATATGTGGTATTTATTTTTTATTTGTTGCAGAGAATGGGCTAACCGAGCTTCATCCGTCCATTTTCTAAGAATTTTAATTTGTATAAGATTATTAATGAGAGATCCATGCTATCAGGTTGGCTTGTCTTTAGTTTACCTTTTAAAATATTCAGCATTACATTCTGTAACACAACTGTAACTACTGGTTAAATATTAATGCAAGTCAGTGGCCTTTCTAGTAACAAGTTATATTTCCTTATGTAATTTGTACATCTAGTTAGTAAATTCTATTCTGATTATTGACGTGCTAATATGGAATGATTTGATGAATGCATTTTCAATTTGTCAGCATTGTCCTAAATCTATAAATAAATTTAAAGCTACTGATTTTTTTCACTATTGCAGTAGTGAAGCATTAAAATGTTTTATTCAATTAATTCAGCAAAGCAGTAAAAGAGCAGCAGTATGGTTTTCAGTTCTGCTAAATTGCTGTAAACCAATTTTCTGTTTGCCAGCATGGACCCAAATGCAGGACCCAAAAATCAATAATCAAGCCTTACTGTAGTAATAATTTAAAATATAGGAATTCCCTCCAGAAAATAATGGGAGGGATTCCCACAGACTAAACTATGCACTCATGTATTTCAGGAAAGGAGAAAAATTATATAGTTATACATATACATAGGTAATAGATGATGAGAACATAGATATTCATAATTAGCAAACCTCAAGTTACCTCCTGCTCTTCTACCGTTACTATACCCAAGAAAGAATCATTGTCTTAATGAAATGATGCATATCAGTTATGTTATCATAGAAATTCATGTAAAGCTGAGTATCAAGCATTTCATGGTTACTCCAATGAGCACACATTCCTTCTATGTTTCTGCCTTGCTAATATGCTACCACTCCTCCAAAAATTTTGTTTCCTCATACAAGCAATTCCTTGAAAATTTATTTATCCTATCTCCAAAAACATGAGAGTGTTATTAGGTGGCATACAAACCTAATAACGTTTAAAATAATGAAAGACTAAAAAAAAACAACACCTCCTGTTCTGCTGGTTTCAAATACTGACTCACACAATTTTATGTATTTATTATTTATTGATCAAATTTTGAAATCACTCATTTCTCTCATAGAGGGACTCTGGTGTACAAATAAAATATTAAAACATGAAATAGTATATACAATTTAAAAAGAGGAAAAGTTGATTAAAATTCAACATTAAAAATTAATTAAAAGGCAAGGGCAGGGCTTTCAGGCAGTAACCAGCCACAGGGTTGGCTGAAAGCCTAAAGCAAGACAGCAGGCCAAGAGAGTAGGGGCCCATCTCAGCCCTGGGGGAGAGTGTTCAAGAGGATGGGGGTAACTCTCTTCTTGGACCCAACCAGTTGGAATTCTTTTACTGACATGTCTGCAACATATCCTCCCTGCCTGACCAAGTGAAACAGGCTGATGTAACAGGAAGAACACAGTTCTATTGATAGCCTGGCCCTGTGCATGTAGGACTTCAAAGATCATAACAACACCTTGAATTGGACCTGGGAGCAAAATACTACTCAGTGAAGCTTATGCAGCAAAAGTATTACATGTGTCATTCTTTGGGCAACCAACATTGCTTGTGCAGCTGCATTCTGTATCACTTAAAGCTTCTGGATACTTTTCAAGAGTAGCCCCATATAAAGCTTATTGCAATGGTCCAAATGGGAGATGATCAAGACATGAGTGATCAAGCAGAAAGCCTCCTTACTCAGGAAAGAGCTCAGTGGGCTCACAACATTAAGTTGAACAAAGGCCCTCATAGCCATAGCTGATCATTGTTCTTTGAGCTAGAGCCGTGTCCAGGTGCCCAGATCATGCACTGAATCAGTCTGGGATAGTGAACACCATCCAAGATCAAAGATGATAAACTCCCAGATACAGGCGGGCCTACCCACAGTCACTCTATCTTACCACGGTTCAGTTGAAGTCTATTCCCCACAGCCTTCAAGTATCACAAAAGAATTTCCACAGCGTCACTCACTTTGCCCAGGATAGAGATATATAACTGGGTGTCATCAGCATACTGATGATATTTTGTCCCATGGTGACAGATGATCAAATCCATCTGTTCGACCTAAAAATTAAAAAGGTGCAGCACCCCGCAAAGCAGGGCCATGATCTTGGATCTTTTGTTTCGTATCAATATCAATTGAGATCATCCTCAGAGGAAAGAGGTGAACCAGTACAGAACTGTGCCACTCACCCTCAATTCCCTAAGTCAGACTAAAAAGATACAATGGTCAATGATATAAAAAGTTGCCAAGAGGTCAAGAAGAGCCAGATGAGATCAGTTTACTCAAGATCAAAGAAATAACAACAGTCAAGGTATGCAAACTAAAACAGTATCTGACAGACACTTGCCTAAATGGTTTACTGCTAATAGGAGCTGGTAACAGGAGTATACTTGGATTTCAGTAAGACATTTGACAAAGTGGAGCACAACCTACTTCTTGATAAGCTGGAAAAATGTGGGATAGACAGCATCACCATCAGATGGATTTATAACTGACTGACAAACCGCACTCAATATACAGTGCTTAATGGAATTACATTGCTTCTACATGGAGGGAAGTAAGCAGTGAGTCACCCCAAGGTTCTGTTTTAGATCCAGTATTTTTCAATATCTTCATAAATGATTTAGATGAGGGAATAGAAGAGGAACTCATTAAATTCGCAGATGATGCCAAATTGGTAGGAATAGCCAACACCCCAAAAGATAGGCCCAGGATCCAGATGGATCTTGACAAATTTGAACACATGTCCTATCTAACAAAATAAATTCAGTGTAGAGAAAAGGAAGATTTTGCACTTAGGGAAGAAAAACCAAGTGTACAGGTTCCAGATCATCAGAAGGCAAGATGAGAAACAACGGATGGAAATTAATCAAGGAGTGAACCAACCTAGAACTAAGGAGAAATTTCTTGACAATGAGAACAATCAACCAGTGGAATGGCTTGCCTACAGAAGTTGTGGGTGCTCCATCACTGGGGGCTTTTAAGAAGATAATGGACATCCATTTATCCAAAATGGTATAGGCTCTGTGGTGCAGGGGTTTGGACTAGAAGACCTACAAGGCCCCTTCCAACTGATAATGACGATGGTGATGGTGATGTAAGATAATAGTATGAAATAGTCTAAGATTCTAAGAGCCAGGTCACGGTTGTCAACCAATCCAAAGGTCATAATTTCACAGACAGAATCATGGAAATGTTATAAAGAGCCATAGATGAGATGGTTGTTTCTTGCAGAACTGCCTCTTAAATCAGGCTGCAGCCAATTGCCATTATCAAGATATTTACTGCCTTCTTGGCAAGACACCTAATGGAATGTCTCTGTTCTCCTCTTCTCTGTATTCGTTGGGTGCTGGGGCATGAAGGACCCATATCATTATTATTTAACTGCTCCTTGGCTTTGCATCTTCTGACGCTCACGTTCCACAGATTATGCTGGAGTGACTTCTTCGAAGTAAAAGTCAGTGTCTGAGTCATAACCCATGACAAAACCCAAGAATGCAGAACAACAGTCACTTGACATCACAGAGCCATCATGCATGTTCATCATGGGATCCCTAAGGCTGGTGGAAAAAAACCATGTTTTAGGGACTTTTCAGAGGGCAAGTAGGGATGAGATCAATTTCATCTCAGGAGAAATGATGTTCCAGAGGGCAGGGGCCACAGCAATAAAGGCATGCTGTCTGGGTCCTGCCAAATGGAACTCTTTAATTGGCAGGACAGATATATATTTCCTGCTCAACCTAATAAAATAGTACATATAATTGGAAATACATTTGACATACTTACCTTTGTTTTCTCTTCTTTAGGAAATTCTTCACAATCTAGGTGGAATTGACAGTTTAGCACAGGTAAAGTTTTTTGAAAAAATAAATGATTGTTTTTTATACATTGTCTTCAAAAGAGTAGCCCCATGGTGAGATAGACGACAAATACATTTAATAACACAAACAAACAAATACATTTCTGTTTTCAAAGGACCACTAAACAAAGGCTGTTCAGCTTTTGAGATAATAAAAAAAAATGAGATAAGCAAAGATGAAAATATTGATCAAATCTAAATGTAGAACTGGGAATGGGAAAGGGATGAATGAATTGTTAAAGGAAAATTTTGTTTGGTATAAAATGTAATAGTATAAAATGGTATAAAATTCTGAAAGGCTTTCAAGATTCTGTTTGATATCCACCAACAATAAAGAAACATTTCTGAAATCCTGCTGTTCCTCTTTTTGGACCTCACTTACCTTAAAAGGCTAACATCAAACTGGAAAGCCTCTGAGTTATCTTTTATGAAACTCCTTTAATTATTTGTTCATCCCTTTCCTATTCCCAGGACCAGGACTGTATTCCATTAAACAATGAAGAAGAAATTTAAAAAATGCCAAACTATCCACAGGTCAAAATGCTCAATCCCTGCTATTATTTGGTATAATATAAGTTGGTATTAATTTGTGTCTGTGTATGGTTAAGGAAACTACGACTGCTATAACTATATTATTTCTTGGAAGAAGATGGTATTTTTTTATAAATGTATTATGTTATCATAACCTCTTGGTAATATATTTTAATTGTTTTATCATTTACAGTATATGGAAACAGTAACAAATGATTATCTTGGTTATGGAGAGGAGCAACATAATATAGACAAATTAGTCAACATGATATGTAAGTTTTAAGTAAATAACTCCCAGTAAAATGAAGTAGTAAAGTTGTAAAATAGAAAGTTTGAATGTTAGTTGAAATAACTAAGATTTCTGATATTGCAGTTGCTCTAACATAGCAAGTAACACTAAATAAACAAAAGCGATTGCAAATCTTAAAGGAATACCAAAGTTAAACCTGCTTCAATTTAACCCAATAAAATCATAGACTTTCACTTAATCAGGAATAATGAGGTCACACTAATTTAAACATGGCTTAACATACTTCACTATTTGATTTAATGTATTTGAAGGATAGCCACATGAGAGGGTCAAAAAAGGACTGCACCTATGTGATTAAATTTCTATCCATTTTTTAAAAATGCTCTAATTTGTGTTAAAATTGGCAAGTTCTTACAGGGTTATGTTCAACTTGATTTTTTAAACATCCCCATTCCTGCAGACATCTCATTTAGAATCTTAAGTCTGACACTGAATCTTCAAAATCATGTCTCAGAATCTATTAAGTTCTGAAACAGATTGCTATTTCGTATATATACCATGAACTTTTTTCTTCAAAATTATTCAAATTAAGAATTTTATATGAGAGGCATATATTTTATTCATTCTTTAATTCACAGATATTATTCAGAAACTTTCAGCTGTTAAAGATCAAAGAGAATGGGTTACAGCCAGTGGAGCACATAAGGTAAATGAATTAATGAAATGAAACTAATCAGTTTCTTTGAAATTTATTGTTTTGTTTTTAGGTTTAGATTAAAAATAGGATCAAATAAAAATTACTGTGTGACCATCATTCTGATCTCTGATGTTTGGCTAAATGGCTGGCACACTATGTGGCAGGGTGAGAACCCACTGTAGTACCCAGCAAGCTAAACAACTGGACAGAAGGTACCTACATGAACAAATCAAGCAAAATGGATACCCACAAGCATTTATTACAAGAAGCCTGCGCAACACACAAAGAAGAGAAAGGAAGAAAGAAGGTACAAGATCAACTATATGGCACACTTATATCAAAAACATTTTGTAAGCTGTAGAACACAGCTTCTGAGATCTGCAAGTGGGCATCACACACTGCCCAGAGGCTACAATATGAGGACAAATCATGCATTGCAATAATTGCTTGGATGTGGCAGATACTTCTAAGGTAATCTGCACGTATTGTTCCTGTGATTATGTAAGACAGATGGGGAGGAAGCTTACTACCAGATTGCAAGAACACAAGTAAACAGTCAGATGAAGAGACCCGAACTCATTAGTAGCCTCCATTGCAATGAACAGGGGCAAACATTCAATTTTGCAGCTACTAAGATTGTTGGTCGTGCAGGTACAAAGTTAGCCAGGGAAATGATTGAAGCCTGGGAAATGGGCTCCTTATCAGTCAATATGAGTGCTGATTGACCACCAGCTTATCAAGTGCTTAGGAGCTGAGGACTTGGCGTACATGGAAACAACAGCCAATTGCTGGCCATCAACACACCAATCAACCAATAGAAAGGTACCACATAAATACGACTCATAGAATAGCTCAAAGCACATATTCCAGTAGTTTAGAAGTTCCCTGAGGATGGGCTCCAGCACAAGCCTGAAAGCTCAGAAGAGTAAACCTCTGGTCCTGTTGACCATCCCAGATTGGATCTTGCAATATTATCCTGGGACACATATATTTACCTTAATTTGTGAAAATTACTGTACTATTAAATTAGGATTAGGAAAATTTATTCATTTTATTGATCTATTTATAGTGGAAATTAACAATAAATCACTGGAGCATATTAAAAAATTGGCAAAAATCAGGTCTGAAAGAAGCACACATGCAACTCACATGATTTTGACAATACTGCTGCATGGAAACTTATTTCAAAAATAGCTGCTCTAGAGAAGGGGGCTAATGTTGTAATAATGTAAAGAAGTACAGATGTATTTGAAGAAGGAATTCAGTGACTTATGTAAACATCAGCCAAGCCCAGATTGATAGAAAGAAATACAGAAAAAAATATATAGCTTCATCTTGATTCTCTTTTATATAAGAGGGGAAGAAAGAAAATCTCTGTCAGGCTTTGATATAAGGTATAATAATAGCATCTTCTATTGTTTACCTAAGTTATCAGTAAGGTGAAGAAATCATTCAGCATTTGGAATGAAATATACTGCCTTTTCATTTTCAGTCCAACTTTTTAGCACAGTAGAAGATAACATTACAACCTCAAGTTTTTACTTTTACACAGTAATATGTACTAGCCATTTCTATAACAAACCTATCTAATCCTCAAAACCAAAATCAAAGTTTAATTTTTCCATTACAAGCACAAAATCCAGATTTGTCAAATATGTTGCATCTGTTTCTTGATTTGATCTACCTTGAGGGACTAACAGCATCACTGATACAGAATTATTACAAGCCAGATTTCTATTACATTCAGTCAGAGCTACTTTCCATGTCTTCTATCTCTGTTCCAGGATGATTTATATGCTTTGTATACTTTACCATATACAGTAGGTGAAGTGGTTGTATCATTCTTACTCTTACATTCTACTTTTTATGGCTGAGGGCAATACTCAGAAGGGAAGATACCCCTTAAGCGACATCCACCCAGCTGGAAATGCCACTTCCAGAGCACAGCAACTGAAGCATCTTTGGACTATTTCAGCTTCAGGAGGGCACTGAAGTACAAGCAGAAGCATATGGACATGTGCTTGGGAAAGAGTAAGCCATCCTCCCATCAAGATCATGTACTTCTTAGCTAAACAAACAAACACATCTCAGCATATAATAGGAGGAAGATCTGATACTGTTTTATTTAAGCATGAACAAAGCCTGATGATAATTCTCAGTTTTATACACTGTTACTTACGTGTGTGGGAAATGTATTCTTTCCTCTTTCTAATATGACTCAAAGTAGTATAGAGGTTTGGGTTTACTTCTTGAAATACTGAAATTAGTTTGCTAGATTATTTTAGAACTTTTTCAGTTTCTAATGCTATTGTGTAAGAAGTATGCAAATGTTCATTATAGCTTCTAGATTAACATTTTCAACTTTTTTCCTTCTTGATTTTGCAGACTTTGATTAATTTACTAGGAACTAGAGAAAATAATGTGCTTGTAGGTTCATTGCTTGCTCTCACTAGCTTGGCAGAAAGGTAAGCTTCAGTTTCGTGGCTTTGTGTTATCCCTTTCATTTATCATGACATCTTACTTTTAATAATTATGACAAATTTAAAACAAAACATTTTTTCTTTTGTGTTTATTTCTGATGTTCTAATTGAGGCATGTTTGTCCTCTGGGGACTGTGTCAGCTGCCATGTTGTACTTCCAGACACTAACTTGCCTGGATATATAAATATATGCAGACAAATGCACACAAAACACATTATCCCAGCTTGCATATATATGTATACATATACTTACATGCTAGACTTTTATAGAAATGACTGCAAGTGCACTTTTATTTATGTAATCAAGTGAATTAATGCTTAAATAAATACGTTATATTGATTGTTGATTGCAACATCAAATGAACATTTTCAAATATGAAACTGTAACAAGCAATTTTCATATCATACCAAATATTCTTTCCTGTGGGGATAATTTATATATTCAGTTACACATCAAAGAATCTACAGTAAGATGTTTATTCATATGTCTTGTGACAATATTTTCTTAATCTGCTTTTAGTTCAGATACTGTATGTATTTAAATTTTTTGTCAATTAAATATAGTAGTAAAATAAGGGGAAGAGTAAAGAATGAAATTGAGATGAATGAATTTGGATTGAATTCAAAATTGAATGTCTAGGGTGAATAAAGTATGTTGAGATAGTTTGATTGTATACAGGTAATCCAAGCTTAACAGACACTTAGCGACTTGTCAGAGTTATAACAAACCCCTTAAAAGCTACCTGTGACCTGATTCTAGACTTCTGACAGTTGCATATATACCCACATAGTCACATGACTGCATTGGGTGCTTGGCAATTGATTTACCTTTCTGTTATTTGCTGTGATTTGTGCTGATTTCTGGCCTTTTTGGACAGTTTCTAGCAAAAAATGGCCATAGGAATACATGGAATTGTTTCATTACTGCAGCGTTTACTTAACAACATTGCATTCACTTAATGACCACTCCTTTTGCTTAATGACCGCTGCAAATAAACCAATAGAATCAGGTCAGTTACATGGGTATCTTGACTTATGACCATCACGACTTATGATAGAAACTGCAGTTTCCATTAAGGTCTTAAGTCAAGGATTACCTGTAGGGACAATGAAATGAAGACTGAATTGCAAAATGAATAAATTAAAGAAAAGCGAATGGGTCAAAAAGAACAGGAAAAAGTTGTAGTTAGATGAAGTTGCTAGTTCCTGAAAGAACAGAGAGAGAACACTTTTAAAGAATGAAAGATAATATATGAAGCAGTGGAAAATGTGGTGGAATCACAGATGACTTGAAGAGTAAAAAGTTAGAAAGATACAGAGAATTGTTTGGTGTATATGCTATTAAATATTACTGGTTCACTCTGCCTTTTAATTTCTTTGGATTTTTATTTCTAACTCCATTTCTGCACTATGCATAATGTTATTATAGTGGAGTGAGGGGGATAGACTATACTAAGTATGTACTTTTGTCATACTTCAAATGTATGAATAAATTGGTAGATAATGCTAGTGAATCTAGTATCTCTTTTTTTGTTCTAATATACACCAGCTTATTTGAAACAAATTAGAATTACTTTATTAAGATGCATGATTGAACTAGTGTAGGCTATTGTCAGGGGCATTTGTTTGTTTGTTTATTTACTTACTTATTTGTATTAATCTCACTACGCTGTTTAAGTAGAATACAGATATCCTCAGTTTATGAAGCTTTGGGGAACGGAATTTCAATTGTAGGTTGCGACAGTTGTAAGTCGAGGCAAACATTTGACTGGACTCAATTTAATGGCTATGTTTTATGGCAGCCGTTAAACAAATCATGCAGCAATATGTCTGAATTATGTGGTTGTTAAGCAAATTACATGATTGTAAGCCTGAATCTACTCTCCCAAATGGACATTTTCAGAAAAGCAGCAAAATCACTGAAAACTGATTACAACTATAACAAACTAGCATAAAAACATGGCAAATTATGGTCACAACAGTAACCAAGCACCCAAAATAGAATCATGTGATTGCAGGGACTGGTGCAACATTTTATAATGGCTGGAAGTGCTTTAGTTATAAGTTAAGGACTATATGTAATAGGGCTTGAAAAATTGTGTTACCATCAAGTACTGCTTTGCAAATCACCCATGTGTTTATCTTTTAAATATTTTACAGTAGCTATGTATAGATATACAATTTACTCATCTCATGAGATTGAAGCCAGACTTATTTCTACTTACCATTAGTAAGATGGTAGAATAATAAAATAGAAAGATTGAGAAAATCTGGATTAAGGTAGCTATATTTAAAATAAATGAAAGCTAAATATAATTATCTTAAATGAAGATATCTTAGGTTACCACCGAGAAAAAATAATATCTTTAATAACAGATCCTTGCTGTTATAAGTTCATCTTCTAACAGAATACGAGGTAAAAAGTGGAACCTGCAAAATTGATGTTAATATAAAATAAGCCACAATTTTCTCCCATAGTTCAATAACAGATAGATGCCTGGTATATATTGCTTTTATTCGATATACAACTCATATTGCTTCAAGACTTACAAAGTTTAAAGAACAGACCTGGGCAGATCTTTATGATTCAGAGGGGATAGAGTTGGTAAAAATTGGTTGAAAAATAAAAAAAATAAAGTATTTTATTTAATAAAATAAAAAATAAAAGAGAGAGAGAGAGAGAGAGAGAGAGAGAGAGAGAGAGAGAGAGAGAGAGAGAGAGAGAATAACCATTTCATAGCTTCTTAGACTAGTGTCTTATCACTAGTTTGAAGTAAAATTGAAGTGCTAGTCAAGCCAACTTCTGGATTAACTACCTTGTCTTTCAGCTAGGGCAGGTGGTCACAGCCAATGATCCATGCTTAAAGGCTACTGGTGTCTGTATTTTAATCATTTGCTTTTAAAAGGGGGAGGCTATTATTACTAGGTATGCTCTACCAACTCTCTTGTGTTTCTTGATTTCTGTAGTAGTATCAGAGACATAATGCAATCTGCTTTCTGAAACATTTAAATTATGGGCTATACCCATTACCAGGAATCCAGTTTTAATCATACTAGAGATTCAGTGCATATAAATTGCAAGGTCATGTATGGAGAAGCTGCTCCAGAATTAGATAGCATGTAGTTTTCCCAATTCCACTCATGCCAACCCAGGAAATAGCGTGAAAATTGTTGAAGTTGGGGTTCAGTGACTCCAAGATTTCATTTCTCTAAAGAAAAGCAAGTTATATATTATTGACTCTGAAACATACACTCACTGACATATTTAGGATAATATTCAAATTCAGTTCAGTTTTCAAAAATAATCTCCCTAATGTTTTTATTGTAGCCCTGAATGTCGTGAGAAAATAAGTGAGCTGAACGTTGTCGAAAATTTATTGATGATATTGCACGAATATGATTTACTTTCTAAAAGGTAGGATATGTCAGTTTCATATGTCAGTTTACTTTTGTGTTGTTGTTTTCCAGATACATTCAAATTATTCTATTTCTGAAGTTATTTACTTAAAACCTTTGAAGTATAACATGAGGGAAATCCCCAAATCTGACATTTTAGTGAGATATAGTATACCTTACTTAGTGGAAGTATTTAGTGGAAGTATTAACCCTGAAAATGACTGAATTAAACTGATAATGCGAAGATCTGGCTTCAAATATGCCATTTGTCCTGGCAATTCACTGAGTAATTTGGGACTAGTTCCTCTTTTTAACCCCCAAAATTTCACAGGATTGTTATGAGAAAAAATAGAAGGAAGGAATACTAAATGCAATGCTGTAAGCTCCTAACTGAATGTTAGAATCTCAATGTAGTAAATAAAATATTTTGGTTCCAGTCCCTTGGATGGCAAACCTTGATTGGCCTTGAATTGTTGGTGCTGCTGCTGAACACCAGGTTGGGGAGCTTTGATCTTATTCAAGGTGCAGAAGGATTGTTGCTGCTAGTTGCTGCTAGTTTGGTTGTGTTAATTCCACACTCCTTGTGATTGATCAAGGCTTCCTGGGAGAGGATGCGTGATTGGGTCTGGGTGGTGGCTAATAAGACCACCCTCATTCCCAACTTGATTGTTGATGAAAAGGCCAACTTGGTGTTCATTACCAAGACCTGGCTGGGATAGGAGAGGCACATTCCAGTTTCTGAGGTTTCCAGCTGTGTTCCAGGTGTGACATCAGCCAAAACCCTAGGGTGGTGGCAGTGGTCATCCCAGATACTTGGGAGGCATTCAGTTCAGGGGAACTTCCCCTTAGATTATTGCACGAGAAACCTTTTTGTTAAGATGAACGCTAATAGCGTCAGTTGGAACTGCTGCTGTTGTATATATTGCGTAGTAACCCCCTGCCTGAGCTTCTTGACTTTGTGGCTGTCTTGGCAGCGGAGTTCCTCAAGTTTATGGTCTTGGGGGGACTTCAACTTGCCTTCTCTGGGCATGGAGTCTGAGATAGCTGAGGAGTTTATGGCCACCATAATAATCACAGGACTGTTCTAAGTCATCCAGGGCCCAATATTATAGTGGTCATTCATCTGATCTTTTTAAGTTAGAGCAGCAGCAGAGTGCTCTGGATTTGGGGAAAATGTTGGTTTCTCTCCTATCATTCTCTGTTATGCAAATACATGTTTTGTCCATTCCTACAGGTAAAAGAATAGTGCTCTCTTCCATACCATCTTTATAGCGGCACAGGTTCATCGGGTGACATCTGATGGCCCATGCTTCTTTCAGACAAAGACATTCCAATCTGGCTTGTGTCCAGGAAGTCTCCCAATGCCCTTTAGAAACTCCTCCCACTGACCCATTGACAAAACCAGTATTTAACCCAATAACTGCCAGATATTCTAACATACTGATATATGCTCTCTAGTTAGGGTTACATAGAGCTATATGAGGTTACATAGAGCTATACGGTTCAGAATGCCTCCATTTCTCTGGAGCAACTCTCCTCTACAGGGAGACTGGGCCTATTAGATTGGTCTACCCCAGAGGACAAATGGACTTGATTGTCAGATAGAGCTTGGGATTGTTCTGGAATGTCTGCTATATAGTCCTGCTGAAGCCTTGATAGCTGCTTAGAATGGGAGAGTGGTTCTGGCTTTGGACCAAATTGCACCTAAGCAGCCTCTCCGAACTCATGATTAATAGACTTCTCTGCTATATAGAAGAGTTAAGGGATCTAAAGAGGGTTAAAAGATGCCTAGGATGCAACTGGCAAACAACAAGGAGTAAAACAATTAAACGTGATCTAAAGCTACTCTTGGAGCCTACTTCATAATGGTGAAAGTGATAAAATTTTATTATTTCCTTATCTATTATAGCATCTGTATATAACTGCCCAGCATTCTTATTTCAGGTGAACCTGTCCCTTCTTGGAAAGATTATCCTGGGATCCATCTATAGGGTTGTTGTGAGGATTGTCCTGCACATCTCATAGTCTCTCTACATTGGATTCCAGCCTTTGGACAGAACCAGTGGAAGTTATAGGGGCTGAATTGTGCAATTATCTGGGGAACTTTGATCCTATTCAAGGTGCAGAAGGATTGTTGCTGCTAGTTGCTGCTAGTTTGGTTGTGTTAATTCCACACTCCTTGTGATTGGTCAAGGCTTCCTGGGAGAGGATGCGTGATTGGGTCTGGGTGGTGGCTAATTCTTTGAGGGAATGTGTAGTGCTACCAGCTTTAAAGGAAGCGGTGGAATGCCCTCAAGATGCCATCCCTAAACCCAACTAATCTGAGTAGTTTTCATCTAATCTCCAACTTGTCCTTTTTTATGGAAGGTTATGGAGAGAGTTGTCTCATGGCAGCTTCAAGGGACTCTGGATGAAGCAGATTATTTGGATCCTTTCAGTCATGATTCAGGATATTTATAGAATTGAGACTTCATTTGATGTGCTCTTTGGTAGGAACAGGATGGGGTAATGAATCTCATTTGTTTTCATGACCTCTCAGTGCCCTTCAGTATCATCAATCATGGTACTTTGCGGACCAGCTTTGGGAGTTAAGGGTGGGTTGTAATATGCTGTATTGGTTCTCCTTCTTCTTCTAGGGTTGGTTTCTATCAGTGTTGATAAGAGGACAGAGGTCCAATCCATATCGCCTACTTCCTGTGGTGCCAAGAACCCAGTCATCTCTTCTCTCTTATTTAATATCTACATGAGGCCACTGGGTGAAGTGATCCAATAGTTTGGGATATGGTATCATCAATATGCAGATGATATGCAACTTTAGCTCTCCAAACTAAGGTGCTTGAGTGATGCTGTAGATATCTCAAAGGTGCTTTTCAAAAGGAAACTGGGTTTCTTGGGGTTTTCCTTGAAAAAAACACCTTTGGGACAACTGTGACCTGGATGATTGAGAATCTCCATAGATTTGCTGTAGATTTCTCATCCCAGTGCCTAGAGCTGTAGGGGCCTGAATGGGGCAAAGGACCTTCGACTCAGTCTAAGCACGCCTGAATGGCTTTGTGTATTTGAGACTTTTGCTGATATTGTTTTTCCAATTTTAGTCCTGGATTAGGTAGAACCAGACTCTGTTGCAATATGGGATCCTCTTGGACTCATGGTTCTTGCTAGGAGAGCAGGTGGCAACCATGGCAAGAAAGGTCTATTCTCACCTTTGGATTTGCATTGGTTGCTTTCATTCTTAGACTGGGAGGTTCTTCTCATAGTCACTCAAGCCCCTCTGACTTCCCGTCTGGATTACTGCAATATCCTTTATATGAGGGCTGCCCTTGAAATCCTATCAAAGGCTTCTGATGCTGTTTCTACCTTTTACCCAGCACACATTTGAATGTCTTTACTGTAAATAAGAACCTGAAAATCATAATAATAATAGTCAATCTTAGAAATAATGGGAAAGAATTACAATTAGATGAACTCAAAGATTAGCTTAAGTACCATCAGCTTTAAGGGGATCCTTGGTTCTGCCCAAGTCATCCCTTGCTATGCCCTGCTTTAAGGCTTTCCTTTTTAAATGTTACAGATTCATGCTATCAGAAAGATTTATCTCTCTTAGAAATAGAAAGGCAGGCACTCCCATCACTCTGATACAGTGTCCTCTGGATTATGTGTTCTGTGATAATTACAAGAATGTGCAGGAAACAGGAAGGAAATCACAAAAGCCGCATTCTGTGTTGCTGCCTTTTTTTGTATATTAATTGTGATACTGCACAGATATACAAAACATGACTTCCTGACACTCCTTTTATCAATTCAATAAGAGCCTCCATTCCTGTGGATGCTTCCAATTATATCAGTGCTTAAAACAGCTTAGAGTTGTTTCAGTTGACCATTATAACAAGCAGTTACTGAACTGGCTATTTGAAGAATAGGTTAATTTAAAGTAGTAATTTTTAGATTTATTTCTTTACAGGTAGTCCTCAATTTACATTTAGCGACCATTCTGAATTATAATGGCTCTGAAAAATGTGATTTATAACATACTCATACAACCATTGCAGCATCCCCATGGTCACATCAAAATTCAGCTGCTTGGTAATTGGCATGTATTTACAACGGTTGCTGCATCCTGGGATTATGTGATCGCAACTTTCCCAGCCCAACTTTCTGAAAATCAAGGTCAATGGATAAAGCTGGATTTGCTTAACAACTAGGTGATTCATTTAACAACTGTGGCAAAAAGTTGTAAAATCAGGCACAACTTGCTTAACAACTGCTTCGTTTAACAACAGAAATTCTCGTCCCAATTGTGGTCATAAGTTGAAAACTATTCATATTAGCGAAATAGATAGATGGAATCTCTATTTTCCCCCGTCTCTCTTATATATACCTATTTATATACATCCATCCATCCAATGATGAGCTACCTAACTCCTTAGGTATGTGGCTTACAGATAAAAAATAGTACATATAAAAATAAATTTTGACTGATTGGAAGAACAATATGCTTAGTTGTAAAACCAAATGTAATTAAAGGGGAGTCCATAATCACCCTTCCCAAGGCCTCTGGAGAAAGATCAAGTTTTATTAATTGCTAGTGGCTTCTGGATGCAATTCATGGTGCTGGTTATTACTTTTTAAATTCTTCATGATATAGAGCTGGCTACTTGGGAGACCACTACCTCCAGCTTTTTCTTCTCATTTAATACATTCAAGCAGGGTGGGGGTTCTCTTAATTCCATCAATTAAATAGTATCATCTTATGAGACCCAGAATCTAGTTTACTGTGTTGCAATACGTGCCCTCTTGAACAATATCCTCCCAAGTTAAGTGTTACTCCCACTCTTAGGATGCTAACTAAAAATGTATCAGTCTCTCTATGTTATATGAGAAAGAAGGCCAAATTTGAATATTTATATAATTTAACAAGCATGCTAACCAGGGCTTTTTTTCTCGGAGAAAAGGTGGCGGAACTCAAACCTGGCCACGCCCTCATCAAACCCTAGGACCGCCCCTTTAGAGAACAGGAATGCAAGTAAAATTTGGGAGGGGCTATTTCCGGTGTGGGAGGGGCTATTTCCGGTGCGGCCGGCCCGGAAAAAGGTGCCGGAACGCGGTTCCGCCGCGTTCCGGCTGAAAAAAAGCCCTGATGCTAACTGTAACTATTGAATTATGAATGTTTGCTGGTTTCTTTGCAGATTAACAGCAGAATTACTCCGCCTCCTTTGTGTGGAACCACAAGTCAAGGAACAAATCAAGTTGTATGAGGGGGTCCCTATTCTGCTTAGTCTGCTCCATTCTGATCATCTAAAACTACTTTGGAGTGTAGTTTGGATTCTTGTACAGATTTGTGAAGATCCTGATACCAGTGTTGAAATTCGAATTTGGGGTGGAATCAAACAGCTCCTTCATATTTTGCAAGGGTAGGTATCTGAATTTATCTATAGTAAGGTCAGACAGAATGTGTATACTCATGTACAAACCTCCAAACAACTTTTTCTCAATGCATTTAGCTTGATTTCATGTGAAAATCAATTCCTATTAACATACCAGTTTGGCTTTGTTTTATATTGTTTTATAGAAAGGTTTTCTGAGACTCATGTTATAAAAATACAGGTATAACTTTCATGAAGTATCAATATAGCAATTCCTTTGGGAAGAAGAAATTAATGTACTAGAACGTATTAAATAAATCAGTACAGAGTGTTCATTACTTATACACACCAATAGGGGGCAGTATCTGACCAATTTAATCCTATATTGGGATGTCATATATATATTATTCAATTCCTCTATTGGCAATTAAATTCCTGGACCATTCATTTTAGATGATGATACACAATGCATTAGTTTTAGGAACTATCCAGTCCCTGGTGTTCAGCAATGTGGAAGAAGTGATACATAGAATCAACCAGAATGATATGTATTGTCTACCTTTCCTTATTTGCCCAAATTCACCTGGAATATGGTTTCTTCATTGGCTCTGTCTGATTCACACACTGATTCTGTGGCTGCACAGTAGCCTATTTGGTTCCAAAGCTAAATTTCTTGGTGAGAGTTCCACCTCAGTATTCAGTTTTCATTTTAAGTACAAGATTACCACTTAATTCTTCAGTTCTCTATTGCCTTTTACAACTTCAGTTTTTTATATTTTTTGTTCAACATGATTACTATTGCACAGGATCGCCAGATATCTTTCTAAAAGTGTGGTTGTAAGCTAATCCCTTCTAGTTATACCTCACTTATTTGGCTAAAGGGCCTGTTGTGAACTTATGTCCATGGTGTATGGTTCTTTAGAATTGCTGTTCTTAACTCATGATGTCTGTTAGGGAGAGGCCTACAATCCCATGGATTCCATGGTTTGTCTTGCTTTGGAGAAGGATTTTTAGGATAATTCCCATGATGGATTAAGCTACTTGCCTCATGTGCTGCTCCTGCCTATTTCTGAAATTAACTTTAAAAATTTAAATTTCAGATTGTCGTGGATTGGCAAGGGCTCCAGATTAGTACTCAGTCCATACTACAGCAACTCCAGGGTCTGATAGGTCATTCTTCTGTTTCTTGCCTTTCCCATTCATGCAGGGATGACTAACCTTGTTAAGCTGCCCTCTCTGGCCCTAACACTCCCTATGGGCTTTCATAGCTGACTAGGGACTTGAACCATGGTCTTGCCAGACTTGAACACTGAGCGCTATCTAACAAAATGAAATTCAATGGTGAAAAAAGTAAGGTTCTACATTTAGGCAAGAAAAACCAAATGTACAGGTATAGTAGGGGGTACCTTGTTCAATAGTAGTAACTGTGAGAGGGATCTCGGAGTCCTAGTGGACAATCATTTAAATATGAGCCAGCAGTGTGCTGCAGCTGCCAAAAAAGGCCAACACAGTGCTAGGCTGCATTAACAGAGGGATAGAATCAAGATCACGTGAAGTGTTAATACCACTTTACAATGCCTTGGTAAGGCCACACTTGGAATACTGCATCCAGTTTTGGTCACCAGGATGTAAAAAAGATGTTGAGACTCTAGAAAGAGTACAGAGAAGAGCAACAAAGATGATTAGGGGACTGGAGGCTAAAACATATAAGGAACGGCTGCTGGAATTGGCTATGTCTAGTTTAACGAAGAGAAGGACGAGGGGGGACATGATAGCAGTGTTCCAATATCTCAGGGACTGAAGAGGGAGTCAAGCTATTCTCCAAAGCGCCTGAGGGCAGGACAAGAAGCAACAGGGGGAAACTAATCAAGGAGAGAAGCAACCTAGAACTAAGGAGAAACTTCCTGACAGTTAGAACAATTAACCAGTGGAACAACCTGCCTCCAGAAGCGGTGAATGCTGCAACACTAGAAGTTTTTAAGAAAAGACTGGACAGTCATTTGTCTGAAATGGTATAGGGTTACCTGCCTGAGCAGGGGGTTGGACTTGATGACCTCCAAGGTCCCATCCAATGTTTTTATTATTATTATTATTATTATTATTATTATTATTATTATTATTATTATTATTATTATTATTATTATTATTATTATTATTATTATTATTATTATTATTATTATTATTATTTCAATCCTTAACTACTACATCACACTGACTCATAATGTACAAGGATGCACAGAACATATGCATTCAAGATTTTAATTGCCAATCACCTTAGAGATATATACAGACTGTTTCTTGTACTTTTTTAGGGAACGAAGTCTGTTTTTAGATCGTTCTTCCATTGGGAGTTTATCTAGTGCAAACGTAGCTGGGAGAATCCAGCAGCTTCATTTATCACAAGAATTAAGCCCTCATGAAATACAAGAAAATACATTTTCTCTTCAAGCAGGTACAGTAGACCTGTGATGATTTATATCAATGAAGTTATTTGTGCCTGAACAACGCATTAAATGGTAATCAAAGACTGATGGATCAATTAAAAATTAACTTCAATAGGTTCTGTTACAGGTATCTACATACTGATTGTCCTAGTATAGAGCAAGGTGGGTATGGAGCCACAGACATTTTATTTTCCTCAGTCTGTAGTGTTTCCCAGATTACATAAATTATAAAATGTAAAAGGATTAGTGGCATAATTTAAAATATTATTTTAAAACTCAAGAAGCATACAATTGATAAATATCTTCATATATAGGATCAATGTAAGATATTTTTTTGGTGATTTATTTTAGCCTGTTGTGCTGCAGTTACTGAATTGGTCCTTAATGACACCAGTGCCCATCAAGTAGTACAGGTGAGGTCTTTAAATATGTTTGAGGTTGACTTTTTATTTGTACTTATATAATGTATTTTATCCCAATTTGTTATGGATGCAAAATATCTGCAGATGTCTCAGCTGATACTGTTTTTACCTGCATGAGATAAAAAAGAGTCAGAAATTTCACCTTCAAATATTATGTTTCATAGGAAGTTAAAATAGAGAAGATATAAGAAGAGGAATAAGGTTAAACAGAAAGGAGCTGGAATGAATTTTTTTTAATATATATTTTTATTTTTAAACCAACAAAACAAAACAAAACATAACACACATACACACACAGTATACACTCCTCCCTTTTTTAACAGCAATTTCGTAACAGTAATCTTCTATTATTTACATTTTCCCCTTATTCTTCATTAGAATATTTATCCTTGTTGCCCCGTTGTTTCTTATTTGCATTTTTCTTCCTTCATACTCTACTTCATACTATGAGTACTACATATTATTATTACTATACATTATACACACATTTTCCACTTTTGACCTTTCCATATTTATTCTCCTCTATTATTTCTAGTTTCCAACCAGTCATACCACTTGTTCCATGTTAGATAATACTCTGTGTCTTCCTTTTCTTTTATCTCTTTTGTTAATTTGTCCATCTCAGCACAGTCCAGGATTTTTCTTATCACTTCTTCCTCTGATGGTATATTCTTATTTTTCCAGAACTGTGCGTATGAATGAATATTCTTATGGAAAATATTAAGAAGGTATAAATAATATAGCCTAGATCAAATTTGATCTTTGCTGTATTTTCAAAATTGAGCAGGAGGAGGTGATGTTTGAAGAGAAGACAATAAGATTGCTTGGTCTCACACAACATGTGAAAACTGAAGTCTGAGGGTAAATTGAATTTACCTTCTGGTAACTATGTGGACAAATAATATTGGTTAAAATGTGCTGTTGTCCACTCATATAAGGACTGTAGGGCCTATATTTTCCACTTAATCATTTTATAATTAAGCATTGCGTGTAATTTGAATTACTGAAGGCGTGCTATTGATATCTGCCTCAGGGAATAAGAATGTATAGAGAACAAGAATGTATCTTAAAGAGCAAATGTGTCAGCTAAAGCCTGTTTAACTTGCAGGTCATGCTGCAAAATGAACAGTATCTGTCTTTGCTGATAGTTTTGCAATAGACAATAAATTCCTCATGTGAATCTGACAGACTATTAGGAATTCTTCTTTATTACTAAATATTTGACTGTTCTCTGAAATATTATTCCTCCATATGTACTTTTTAGGAGAATGGGGTATATACAATAGCAAAGCTGCTTTTACCTAATAAACAAAGGAATGTAGCAAAGGCTAATTTATTACAGGTAATCCTTTTTATTTATTTATGAATTTTCACTGCCAATAGTTGCAGTTTTGAAACAGAAATAATGTGGTTTATTATGAATTTCTTTATTGGTTTTTGAATAAAGAGTAAAATAATCAAGAAAAGTCCCTTTCTCCATGCCTCCCTATGCCTTCTAAGGCCGTTTGATAAGTTTAATGTAATCAATTTTATAGGTTAATAAGAATATATAAGACTAGAAAAGACAACAAATTGGTAATAGTTTCATAAATATTCTTCTATTATTACACTGTTTTGCTCTATTAATTTAAAAATTGCTCAGTCTTTTAGCTTGTTATTGACATTGAAACTTTAGGCAAGAGAAACCAAATGTGGCTTCCAATCCTGTATGGAATTGTTTCTGTGCATTTTTCTCGTTCTAGTGTTACGCATTCAGAGCCCTGAGATTTCTTTTCAGCATGGAAAGGAATCGACATCTTTTTAAAAGGTATGCTGAAGACAAGTTATATCCCAAGATTATTTTTCTTAAGGAACCATACCTTAGATTTATTGTATGTAAGAATGTGTGCGTGTATATAAAACCTGTCAAAATTTGCTTAAAACACTGATTTCTGATAAAAACCTGTTTCCAAACTCTATATAGTCAAAAGGAATAAAATTGCAAAATATATTCCCATTTTAATAACGGAAGATTTCTGAAGGCACTGGAACTGTATTATAATGAGTGGTCCAGATATAATTACCAAGCCATTCCTGTTGTCCCTTGATTACACTGTGATTAACTAGGGATGACATCTCACAAGAAATGATTAACTGCACTTACACTGTTTTTGTGAGAATTGTTCAAAAACAATATGTACATGCATATGAAGTGTTTCTCCAATCTTAATTAAGAAAAAGAAATCTGTGCTCCATAACATGGCTTTAGGAAACACTAATAATCCCAAACCATATATTTATTTTGCTTGTAAATGGATGCATGATAGATGTTCTTCATAAGGTCAGGGTTATTCATATGCTGCCAGTTTTCAAATATTTGATCTCCATTTGTTTTTAGTTTCATTAGATATTCATTCTGGGATACAAGAATCTGAACAACTGCTAGATGGAAGCAGAGGTTTAGTTTTATGTATCTTTTTGCTGTCAACCAAATTTTTACTGCTTAGTTATTCATTCAATTCATTTCAGAGTCACCAAAAATGTGAAACATGCAGAGTGATTTTTTTTAGAGCTCTCATATTCAGTGGCATGGAACAGATGATGGCAACTTTTTCCCTTCTCTAGCATCATAGCAGATTTCCTAGCTTATACATATGGAGGAATCAAGTGAAAGAATCGAGCTAGCATACTTTAATATTGCTTTTTTTGGATAGAACAGAACTGCTGCAGAATTTCTTAAAGATTAAACAGGACTTACATGAGAGTAAGGGTTATTACATTTGTTGAGATTTACTGCAAAATATGAATGGATAAAATTGATTTTGTTGAGCTCATCAAAATCATTGTTGTATTTCCTTCCTTCTTTTGCATTGTCTGTCTGCTTCCTTTGCTTTTGTCTCCATCAGGTTTTGTTCTTCTCTTTCCTTCAAAATGCAACTCATATTTTCTATCACATATCCCCTCCCCTAATTCCCCTTTTCTTTTGCTTGCCACGTGTATGTAATTTGAGAGAAAATTATAAAGTATATAGCAGTTGTAGATAAATTAATTTTACAAAAAGGGGACTTATTTTACTGGTAGTAAATTAGTTTTAATAATAATTCAGATTGTACTGCACTCTCTTTTTGACCTACTCATTTCTAAATTTGCTATTTGTCTATCTGTACAGACACATAAACACTAAACATTTTGGTGGGGCAGAGGGGATTTCCTGCATTGTGTCAAATGGCGTTAGTAACCTAGATTGACAAGGTAGGGAAGCTGGGCATTATAAAGAATTTCTAATTTTAATTTTTCTTTTTTTTGTCTCCATGGGGCAGATTTGTCTTAAATTAATAGCCTTTCTTTCAAAAAATATGGAATTTTATGAAGGAAAAGGATTGAACCAACTTTCCTTTAGTAAGAAAGATGTGATGTGTTACTCACACGTGTAAAGCCTCTTTGTAGGATTATTTTGCCCTTAGTACATTTGTTCGACACAAATTATAAAAGAAATTTGTTTTAAAAATGTGAGAAATGAAATTGGGTATAAAGTTGACTCAGTAGTCCATAAGTATTTACATTTATATTTTTATAGGCTCTTTCCTACAGACTTGTTTGAAAGCTTCATAGATGTTGGGCATTATATTCGTGAGATCAGTGCATATGAAGAGCTAGTATTGAAATTAAATGCATTACTGGTGGGTAGTTTTTCCTTATTCAAATGAACTCAGTCCCTGCCAAAATGTTTCAGCTTACTCTGGCTTTTAAATGTCATCTTTGAATAAAATATTGCAGAGTTTTTTAAAGAGAATTATGAAAGCTGCTTTTGTACAAGAGATAGCTGTATGATGCTTTGCATTATGCTTTGTGTTAACCTTAAGTCACCATACTTCTTTCAAGTGCTCTAGCCGCGTAAATTTCATTTAAGAGTGAAATAGTCAAAGAAGTGGTCTTGTCTGAGATGAAAAAATGGGTAAAGGTGGTTTTTAAGCGGAAAGTAGAACTTTTATAAATTATAATCATTGTCTAAAATTGCATCAATAACTTTTGTAACCAGGAGGATGAAGTTAAGCAAATTGCTGAAAATATTGAAAATATTAATCAGAATAAAGCACCTATGAAATACATAGGCAATTATGCAGTTTTGGATCATCTTGGCAGTGGAGCATTTGGAAGTGTTTATAAGGTAAAACTGCCTTTGATTTATTTTGAATATTGTTTTTCATACTTTTTTCAATAATTTTCACACTTGATTGCAAATATATATGTATTTTTATTAACAATGGAAGGCAATATGTTGATTTGACTTAGCATTATTTGTATTAAATATTTAAATAGTTGAGAAAGTTAACATCAGGGGTGTCAAACTGCCGGCCCATGGGCTGGATGCATCATGGTGAAACTGCGCCCATCCCATTGCTGGCAATGGGAAAAAAGTTGCGATATGTCGCGACACATTACATGATGTTGCGAGTTTGACACCACTGGTTAACATAGTCAAGATTGCAATTTCAAATTATACCTTGTTCCTGAGTTCAATACCTACAAGTCACCATTCCACAGTACTCTAGAGAACCTTTTCACCCATTGTATCACTTTTAGGATATGGCAATATCCGAGTACCACCTGTCACCTAGCAAGGTGTCAAAAATTTGATGACCAAAAAAAGGAAAAAAGTTATAAAGTACAGGTAGTCCTTGACTTACAACAATTCGCTTAGTGACTGTTCGAAGTTACAAAGGCATTTGAAAAAGTGACTTATGACCATTTTTCACACTTATGACTGTTGCAGCATCCCCAGAGTCTTGTGATTTACATTCAGATGCTTGGCAACTGATTCTTATTTATGATGGTCACAGTGTCCCAGGGTCACGTGATCCCCTTGTGTGACCTTCTGACAAGCAAAGTCCATGGAGGAAGCCAGATTCACTTAACAACTGTGTTACTAATTTAACAACTGCAGTGATTCACTTAACAAATGTGGCAAGAAAAGTCATAAAATGGGACAAATCTCATTTAACAAATTTCTCACTTAGCAACATAAATTTTGGGCTCAATTGTGGTTGTAGGTTGAGGACTATCTGTACACCCACTTACCACACTTTAAATGGGAAACTTGTGCCTGTTTCTCTACATTAATCTTTGCACTGTTCTATCCCCTTCTCTCCTTCTGGTTGACTCAAAGAAGCTGATAGATATTGCAGGGGCTTTGGAGGGAGGGTGCAGCTTCTTCACTTGAAGTGGGGGCATTTTGGGGTGCTAGTTGGCTTTTCCCCAAAGATTCCCTAACTTTAAAACAGCTCTTGGGTGGCAACAGTTACCCAGCACGAGGGGCTCAGGAGAAAGAGATGCCGGCAATGCTAACTCCCAAAAATGAGGGGCTCAGAGGCAGCTACAAGCAGGGGAGGCAGGGAGGGGGGGCAAAGAAAGGAAATCAAACCTGATTGACAGGGAGCATAGTAACCCTGCCCCTATTCCACCGAGGGCAGATCCCCATCATCCCCGCCTGGCAGGGGTCTTCCTGTCCCACCGTTGCAGACAAAGGGAGGCTCCAATGAGATGGAGGAGGAAGAGGTTTTAAGCAAGTTTAGCAACCTGAGTTGGGATCCCCCCCAAAAAACATGCTTTGTGGGTAATCACCCAGCACGATCAAAACCTGCTGCAACCACCCAGCAAATGGGGAGGGGGAAAAATAAAAACCAAACAGCCCCCCTGCCAATTCTCAACAGAAATGCTCACGACAACAAAAAACTCGGACAGGGGGAAGAGCACAGGCAGGCGGGCGTCTTGCTCAGCTGGTGGCTTGGGGGGAGGAAAGGGGATAGCTTCATCCTCCCCCAAACACTGCCCACTCCTGAGAGCAGAATGAAAATTCTGAAAAATGACCAGGAAAAAAGGTTAAAACAGAAGAGTGTCTCTTCTGAACAAGGAAAAAAAAAAAGATCACATCCGCATCCAACTTTTGGGGATGGAGTGGGGGATTTTTATATTTTGCCTCATTTTGCTCTTTTAAAAAGACCGCCCCCCAACATCAGAAACCGTGCGCCATCACCGTTCACCTGCTGTGCCCCCCCCACAGACCCAAATCCCTTCTTTCCCTTCCTTTAAAACAAACAACCCGCCCCACCGAATCCTCCTGTTCCTCCCTTCTGAATTACAATGAAAGAAAGCCAAGTTTTTTCTTTCTGCTAGAAGGAAGTGGGGAAGCAAACCATCATGAGACACTCTTCTGTTTTAACCTTTTTCTCTTATCGTTTTTTTGAGTTTTCATCCTGCTTTCGTGAGAGGGCAGCATTTGGGGAGGTGAAGCTGCCCCCTTCCCCCCCAAGCCACAGCCGAGCAAGGCACCTGTCTACACGCCCAGCCACGCTCTTCCTCCTGTCCGAGGTTTTCATTGTTGTGAGCATTTCTGTTGCGGATTGGCAGTGGAGGTGTGTGTTTGTTTTTTATTCCCCCCGTCTCCTGGGTGGATGCAGTAGGTTTTGGTCACTTCTGTTACCCACAAAGCACTCCAGTTGCTAAGCTTGCTTAAATCCTCTTCCTCCACCTCCTCCTCCTCACTGGAGCCCCCCTTTGTCTGCAATGGTGCAGCAGGAAGACCCCTGCCGGGCTGGAGATGATGGGGATCTCCCCTCTGCAGAGTAGGGGCAGGGTTCCAGCTAATTGGCACTTCTTCTGGGCTCAGCAGACGCGCCAGGATCAGCACCGAGCTCCAGCTGATCGGTGCTTCTTTTGCGCTCAGTAGACGCGCCAGGATCAGTGCCAAACTGCAGCTGATTGGCGCTTCTTCTGTGCTCAGCAGAATCTCCAGGATCAGCGCCAGGCTCCAACTGATTGGTGCTTCTTCGGAGCTCAGCAGAAGCGCCAGGATCAGCGCCGAGCTCCAGCTGGAGCCCAGCGCTGATCCTGGTGCTTCTGCTGAGCCCTGACAGCCCTGAAGATGCGCCAATCAGCTGGAAAGTGGCACTGATCCTGACGTTTCTGCTGAGCCCTGAAGAAGCGCCAATCAGCTGGAGCCCGGCACTGATCTGGCACTTCTGCTGAGCCATGACAGCCCTGCAGCTCCAGCCCTCTTTCACTCAGGCTTGTGCAGAGCTGCTGCTGCTGGTTCAGCTGATTCCCCTCCCCCTCCCCCACTTCTTTAGGATGGTCACGTATCACCTGCCAGGTGCCAATGTACCACAGGTGGTACGCGTACCACCGGTTGAAAAGCCCTGCTTTAAATAATTTGTAGTGGGCTATATAAATAATAATTAGTAGTGTGCTCACAGTGTGACCTGGCCAGTTTTCAGAGATTCTAATTTTCTATTCAGATCTGATAGGACGTTCAATTACTCATATATCATTCAAAAATATTCTCATTGCAAAATGGAAACTTGGTCCTACATTTTAATTTCTATTGTATACTATCTGTTCATATCTTTCTTCCTGCTGTAGGTTAGAAAACATAGTGGCCAAAACTTTCTAGCAATGAAAGAGATTAATTTACATAATCCAGCATTTGGAAAAGATAAAAAAGATCGAGAGAGCAGTGTGAAGAACATTGTGTCTGAATTAACCATAATTAAAGAACAGGTGAGACCAAATAAAAATAAGCTTCAGAAAAATTGTGGGGGAAGTCTTATTTTAATTACTATGCTACCCTGAGTATGTGTGGCTACCTACTTTTATTCCCCTGCTCAGCCTTTTCATTACCTGTTGCCTTTTCCTATTCATCCGTAGTAAGTTTGTAGAGGACTAGGGAACTGCTATAATGCACATGTCCCTCCTAACCTATTGCAAACCTTGATTGAACTGTGTGACCATTCATACACTTGCAGTTAAAGACTAATCAAGAAAAAAATTGCAATTAGTAATAAATTCTAAAAACATAACAGAGACATTGTGATACCGATGGTGTTCTTTTATCTGTCACTGATGCAGTCCTTTCAAATAAGCATTAATACCACCCAAATGCCAAAAGTTATGCTAATTTTCAAAACCTAATTTGCCACAATTACCATTTAGAGGAAAATCACCTTTATGTTGTACTGCTGCTAGAATGGGGTAGAGTTAATATTTTTTGTCCATTTTTTTTCTTGGAGGAAGTGGGGTTAAGGATAGTGATGGGTGTGTTTCACTTCTTAAAAGTCTCTCACTTCCATGCCATTCAGACTGAAATCATCTTACTGATTTGCCACAAAATTTTATGGGTAGGGTTGATAAACAGTTTAAGGCAGACATGTCAAACTCACAACATCACACAACATATCGGGACTGTTTTGCCATTGCTGGTAATGGGGTGGGCGCAGCTTCCGTGTGACGCTCCGCCTGCAGGCCGGCAGTTTGACACCCCTGGTTTAAGGTATGTATGAAGGTACTTTGTGCTTCCATTTATACTCTAATTTTTTGAAAAAAGAAAAGAATATTCGAGTACTGGATCATGTCTGATGTATCACAGACTGCCCATATTTAATCTAATATTTGTATGTTTTTATTTTAGCTTTATCACCCCAATGTTGTACGATACCACAGAACCTTTTTAGAAAGTAAGTATAAGTCTACAAAGTTACAATCCACAGTGTATTACTTTCATAATTCTTTTTAAAAAAAATCAAGTAGGAACTATGTCAGAAATGTATTCTTTTGACATCTTAATGACTGTTCAAAGTTACAACAGCACTGAAAAAATTGACATGATCAGTTCTCACACTGATGATGTTGCAGCATCCCCACACTTACTGATAGTTGCAGCAACCCAGGGTTCTTGGATTGTCATTTGCAACTTTCATTCTGACAAGCAAAGTCAATGGGAGAAGCCAGATTAGCTTAACAAATGTATGATTCACTTAACAACTGAAGTGGTTCACTTAACATCCATGGCAAAAAAAAGTCATAATATGGGGCACAACTCACAACTGCCTTGTTTAGCAATGGAAATTTTAGGTTCAATTGTGGTCATAAGTCAAGTTGGATGTTTGAGGAACATAGTGAGTGGGCAGGGATTATATATGAGTAGAGCCATGATTCTCTATTTTTTTCTTGATGGTTATAGAGAAGTTTGGAGGTTCATTATTTACATTTTCATTTTAGTATCTTTCTCAAATCAGAAATTGCTATTGTCTTTCAGCAGCTACCATCAAATGGAGTTTGAAAGACCTTAAGTTGCTCTTCAGGACAGATTGCATTATATGTGATTTCACATTTGATATTTTCTTGATATACAAATCAATTAACCACAGACCTACAATTGTTTGTTTAGATTTGCTGGCAAACCATCTCATTGTAGCAATTCTGGCAGCTTGCAACATAAAACTTTGTAAAACTACAAAAACATTAAAAAAAATATCAAACTTGTAGTAAGTTAAATGTTGCTAAAGTATCCAGTGCTGATGATTACCTAGTTTGGGTAATAAAGCTTCTGCAAGAAAACAACCAAGCTCAGAGAGCACCAAGTCATCTCACAGCAATATTTAATTTACTACAAGTTTGATATACAAATATTTTCCTTTAAATGTTGCTGAAAACTGTGTATTTTTAACTATAATAAAGTTGAAGAGATTTTTTTTTGTTTATCACTATGAATCTGTTCCAAGAAAATAACTAACATTACATAGTCAATGAATTAGGTTTGATGTTAGGCAGTTCAGTTTTTGGGAGACATCATTAAGTGATTGAATGCATAGTTGTTGAGAACATAGGTTAATGCTGTGTTCCTGTGAGAACATCTGAAGAATCAGTTTGCTTTAAATATCTCCAAGAAATATGCCTGCTTGATTTCCCTTGCATAACAATTATTTTATTGTTACTATTTTTTTTGTTTCATTATGTATAGATGATAGATTGTATATAGTCATGGAGCTCATAGAAGGAGCACCCCTTGGAGAACATTTTCATTCTTTGAAGGAAAAACAACAACAATTTACAGAAGAGAGAATATGGAATATATTCATTCAAGTAAGAACCTGAATTTGCCTTCATTACTTCCCCTACATCTTTTCTGTTCATATAGTTAATCAGGATCTGAAAAGTCTGAAACCATGTTAGGCTATGATGGCAAAAAAAAAGAAAAAAAAAGAATGTGGCCTCACCTTTTCTGATTAACAAATGTTTTTGAAAGATCTAAACTTTTTGTGAGCTTATTTGTTAGTCGGAAAAGGTGCTCCACACTCCTGGTTTTTTTAATATATATATAGCCTAACATGGTTTTCCACCTGTAATGATTATATAGTAATAATATATTGATACTTATCAGGATCTGTTCTTTTGTCCCTTCTGAAGTATCCATATTAATTTTTTGTTTGCAATAAGACAAAATTGTCACTAGAAGTTACTGATCATAAAACTTTTTGCCAAAAGTCTATCAAGACAATATGGTCCATAATACCATAATGTTTTAAAGGCAACTTCTTTCTTGAGGAATCTAGCAAAAATAAAACTCTGTCACTTTCCCTCTAACGATAGAGTTTACATGCTCCTTCCCTTTTAGAAGAAATGCAAAACAACACACAGCATTTAACAGAAGAAAGTTTCCTTCTTTGCAGCTGTTCTGGATACAATACTCTCAGCTGCTCTGCAAAGCAAAAAATGTGACTAGTATACTTTGATCTTCTAATGAACTGTGGTAGCCATTTTGCTTATTATAGGACACTCACAAATTATCCTTTCAGATTGTTATGCTTCAGAATTTTATTGCCATTAAAAAGTTGTTTAATTAGTGCTGATGTATCTGGCTTTGTATTGCATTAAGATTATTATCATAATCATCATTGTTATTATTATTATTATTGTTATTATTATTGTTGTTATTATTATTAAGCTGTGTTTAGCTCTTCGGTATTTGCACAAAGAGAAGAGGATTGTCCATAGAGACCTCACTCCAAACAATATCATGCTGGGAGATAAAGATAAAGTAACAGTCAGTAAGTTCTGTTTTTATGATCTTATTGACATTTGATAGAAAATAATCATGGTGCTGATATCAATAATAAGCTAGTCATAATATCTATATGTTATATTTACTGTGAGAAATATCTCAGTACAATCAGTGGCACCATCTAGTTGAGGAACATTTCCTCTTTTTAAATATAGTAGCATGTGCTACTGGAAATAAGATCAGTTGAATGTCATTATGACCAATTAATGAGGTTCATATGAATATCATGGCCTTTTCTTATTTTCTTATTTTTTTGTAAGTTTCTTGAAAAAGTGCAGCGTAGTCAGTTACTTCTGTGTAAATTAAAATATTATGCTATTTTTAATGGACATTCCAGAAAATACAATATCTGTTGAACATGTATGTATTATTCTCTCTGTGTAGAAATAATATATTTTCTATAATTAATGCTGTTATTTACATTTTATGCTGTTTATTCAAAGCTGTAATTACCCGTTCTTACTGTTTTTACATCAGATGTTTTATATTTTTCCTTCAGAAGGAAACATTTTGCATGTCTGTCTGTCTGTCTGTCTGTCTGTCTTTCTGTCTGTCTATCTATCTATCTATCTATCTCTATCTAATCTCTATCTCTTATCATCTGTAATCTATATCTGTTTTACTTAAATGTTAGGTTCGCACATTTGATGGATGAAATAGGAAATGCATACCTAATTTATCCCATTGGTTATTTTATTAAGTATTTATTTATTTATTAAGTATAATAAAATATGAGTAATCTCTGCTGCTGTTCCATAAAATTGTCCTCTCCTAGGGATAGTTAACCTTGACTTTTATATCATTGCACATGATCCATATCTGATTTCAACACAATCAACTTGTCTTTTATGAATTGTATCAGAGTATATTATAATATAAAATACAAATGAAAATAAAAATGAGAAAAAGTGTGAAAGGAGATGTTGGATAAAAAGAAATGGAAAACGAAAAAGCAGTTATGGCTCCTTTAATTCAGATTTGGAATGAGATCTAGGACTTGTTCTGTTATGGCTCAAGGTACCTGAAAGTTCTTTCTTTAGTTCCATTAGGACAATTTTATTTAAACCACTCTCATAATGAATAGCCTTATTCTCCATTGTGTATTTCAAAAAAATCAATTTTGTCATTTACTTGGTTTTTGCCACTTACAGTGGTTTGAGAAGTTTCTTCATTCAATTTCATTGCTAGATTAACAATTTTCACTTCTTTTACTTGAATTCTTTTGTCTGAATATTCCTCCAACATGGTTCTCGTGAGATCCAGCTGGGTTGGTTCCTCTTTTATAATTTGGTGTTCATCTTTATTTATTGTTTATTTAATCAAATTCTGCTTTCCCACTGTTTTAATCTTTGACTCCCCCTTGTGGTCCAAGAGCAAATCTTATAAGTAGCACATTTAGAAGTCTGAAGTTGTATCTTAACTAATCAAGTTCAGTTAAAATCAGAAACCTTTGCTTTCCCATAAGTATGTCAGAGTCACTAGTCACTAGTAATAAATCCCATTATCAAGTGATCATGGCAGAAAGAGGCCAATTATACTTTAAAATTTTGAATGCCTGTGCTTGTCAAAGACCAATTAAAGAAAGAAAATATTCCAAGCTTCTTTATTTCCTCTTCATTGTTTAGCACTTACAGTATTTCTAAGATGGCATAGTTCTTCAAAAAGAAATAACACACTACAATTGAAAAGAGACTCTTTTACATCAGTAAAGGCAAATAATTAAAACAAAGTGATTAAGAAATAGAAGATATAACTTATTGTCCAAGCTGGCAGGAATAGCCAACACTCCAGAAGATAGGCTCAAGATACATAAGGATCTTGACAGACTTGAACATTGGGCCCTATCTAACAAAATGAAATTCATTGGTGAGAAAAGATTCTACATTTAAGTAAGGACAACCATTTAAATGCACAGGTATAGAATAGGTGGTACATGGCTCTATAATAGTAACTGTGAGAAGGATCTTGGACTCCTAGTGGACAATCACTTAAGTATGATCAGTAGTGTGCTGCAGCTACCAAAAAAGCCAAACCTAGGCTGCATTAACAGAACAATAGAATCCAGATCATGTGCAGTGTTAGTACCACTTTATAATACCCTGGTAAGACCACATATATTGCAACCAGTTTTGGTCACTATGATATAAAAAGATATTGAGACTGTAGAAAGAGTGCAGAATAGAGCAACAAAGATGATTAGGGGACTGGAAGCTAAAACATATGAAGAATGTTTTCAGGAATTGGATATGTCTAGTTTAATGAAGAGAAGGACTAAGGGTGACATGATAGCAGCATTCCAACGTCAAAAGGGCTGTCACGAAGAAAGGGTCAACTTATTCTCCAAAGCAACTGAAGGCAGGACAAGAAGCAATGAATGGAAACTAATCAAGAAGAGAAGCAGCCTAGATCTAAGGAGAAATTTCCTGACAGTTAGAACAATTAATAAGTGGAACGGCTTGCCTCCAGAACTCTCTAGTTGTAGATTTAATTTGGAGATTTGCTCATTTATATTATATAAATTATTTTAGTCTCATTATAGTTTCTTTTTATATCCTCTTTGTATGCAACAATTGTTTGGTGAATTGTAATATAGAGTATATTTCCTTATGAAAGGCGTTTGGTTTTTCTCAAGGCATCATTCCGGAGATCCTCTAATATCACCAGTCCCAGTAAGAGTAGAACAAAGTTTCCTCTAGCTTTTTGGACTTTATATGTAGCCTTTATAATCCAATAGATTCCAGAATATAGATCTAGTCCCAAAAGCAATATTTTATAGTGATCCTTTGTCTCAGGCATCCAAAAATTGTCAGTCAGGCAAGATTATAATCCACAATGTTCAAAGTGTTCAAAGTATTCAACCTCCCTGAAAACAGCTCAAAAGTCTCTCTCAGCCAGACATAACCAAAGGTCAAATTTTTCTTTCTCTCTCATTAGCTCTTGAGATTAAAAGTCCATGCTCAGTAGGTGTTTATAGTCCAAAAAGGTCAGGGTGATAAGTATGTCAAAATATTTTCCTTTATTGCCAGCTGTTCTCCCTTAAGCTAGGAGTCACCAAGCAGCCAGGAAGCTAGTTATAGTGCTGTACTCACTACTAGATGTCATTCAAAATCCATTTTCCACTCTTAAGACAAAGGATTGATTTCTTATACTTCACCTCAATGTTTTTTTTTCCAGAGAGAAAATCTTAACAATTATCTCAGTTCTCAAATTTAAAAACTGTAGCTTTATGTTACTTCCACTTCAGTATTGTGTATTTCTGTCCCCCATAGAAATTAAAACACCGCTTCCATTCACATTCGATAGTTTTTAGCTTCTTGGGAAGCTTTCCCAGGAAATTCAGTTGTAAAATAGTAAAGAAAGGATCAATATTCTCACCCAGTTCCAAACATGCTGTTTATGATGTGTTAATAGGTGCTTTTCTTCTTTGGTTGTCAGCAGCTAATGGCTGGCCATAGGAATGTAGCCAGTCTTTCCCCTGCCAGTATGGAGGGCTGTTCTTGGATCGAAGGAAAGACCGCCATCTCTCCATGATCGACGAGACACCCTTCTTCCTCACCTCTCTGGGGTGACTTTAAGCCCTTTTTAGGGCCCACAGCAGGGCAAAATCAGGTGCGGAAGGTAGAGCCCTGCCTTCCTGCCTCCGTCTTGCTGTGATGCAAATCCGGAAGTCCTCGGCTGTCCAGTCTTATTAAAGCAGCCACTTTAAAAAAAAAAAAAATGTGCAGTAACTTTGATTCAGGTTAATGCACAGATAGTATATACATGGCAAACTCATTTCTCTAATACTAATGCAGAGTTCTGCAGGTTCCAAAGTACTCTAATACTCTATTATACACCTTAATTTATTTTAGACCATTGCCAAGTTAACAGTGAAATTCTGCACTATAGCTGCTCTTTATGACCAATCGAATGTGAATATGGATAATCTACTGAGTTTCATTAATCTATTGAGATTTATATAATGGATTTTTGTTTAAATAATGAATATATAATTCATATTCATGGATTCATTGGGTACTCAAAATTAATTTTAATATGAGTTTGCTGTCTGATAGATGCAAAGGTGAACATTAATTTTCTGATGAAACATTTCAGTAGCATTCATCATATGCTAATATTGTAAATTATGTGTAATGTACATTAGTGTAAATTATAAAGCATGAAGTGTTTTCCACTTTCATTTCTTTTTGGTTTAGTTCATTTCTTTTTTTGGTTGTGCTTAACCAAATGAGTGATTCTGATACTTGAAACATAAACAAATAAAACAACAATAAAATATTCTTTAAAATGAATGCTAACTGCAAACATCCCTCTGCTTTGTTTTTATTTTTGCATGTTTGCAAGCAATTATGATTGATCTGTTGTAACCAGTGAGAGTGTATATAGACTGTATTCAAATGTTCAGCAAATGCATTCTTTGTCTTCTGGTACTAATTCTGAATGCATTCATGCATATGGAAAGCTAATATACAGAAGAGAATCATAGCAGCTTTATATAAATATATTCTTGCATTTTAGTATTTTCTAGTAAGTAGTTAGATCAGGAGCTTGGATGTACTTAAAGAGATAGCCACTGTATGGTGCTCATGCATTACAATTGGAGAACTCTCCTTTTGCACATTCAACCTATTTCAGTAGAGGATTGGAATAGCATCTGCTATATAGTAAATTTAAATAACTATTCCAAGAGTTTAAATAACTCTTGGAAAAACCTTAGTATAAAGTATAATGGAAATATGGAAGGAACTAAGTGAGATTTTCCCACTTTGTTTAGATTGATAATATTCTATCAGTGAAACCCTTGGTGCTCTCTGAACTTGGTTGCTTGCTTACAGACTTTTCATTACCTAACTAGGTAACATCATCAGTACTAATAAATGTGGAATTTATTCCCAGTATATTTATAAATAGCTTGCCCTGCAAGTATTGATAGGTCAAAGTTTTTACTAGTTTTGGGTGGCTGCTTTAATGAATGCTGATAGTTCT